GTTGCTGCTTGCTCTAGAATACCGAATAAGTTGGGAAATGTATATCCCATATGCAGGTGAAGTTGGTATATTGCTACTATGGTGGGGGAAATTGATAATTTCAAAATTAAAATCGTCTCGTTTGTCATAGATTCTGGTACTGAGATGACCGTGCATGTCAAATTCGAGTTATAAGTCTAAAAATGAGGCGGAGGAAGCCGTGTCTGTTGTTTCTTTAATTTCTAGTTCTGGGGGATATATTAATGGAACCCAATCAGAAAAGTTTGGATTGTTAATGGAAATAACATCATCAATATATCTGAATATGAAATTAAATGACCTGGCTTCTTTGATCTTCTTGTTTTTGACAAGTGTCTGAAGGAAACTCCGATTCATATGAAAATAAGAATAGGTCGGCAAGGAGAGGCGCACAGTTCGTTCTCATAGGAAGACATATTAAGAATATTATTCTCGTTCAGTATTCGAATAAATACTTTATACTTTATTGCACCACACCCTCTACATCACAAATCCGGCTTTTATTTATGAAAGCACATTATTACATACTAATTTAGTATATAATTTGTTTTATCAAATATGACTGAAAATTTGTATTGCGGAAGATTGATTACCCTTCCTGACCAACTTCAATCACCACTGGTTTAAGGTAGTGTTCGTGTTTTGAGAACTGCTGTTTGTCTGTCCTACTTTTTTCGCTTTGTTCATGGTGCTATATGTGTATTTATCGGAAATATAAGAATCATCTTGTCCCGTCCCCGTTTGTGTTTTGTTCTTTCCATTTATATGTCAATCCATTAGTCTAAAAAATTTGTAATGATTAATATTCCTCTTACATCGCTTGGTAAATTTTAGTGAAGTTCAAAGTTTTAAAGTGCACGTTTGCATATTGTACAGTAAGGGATTATGTTCATGATAAACACATTCAAATCGAGTTTAAAAGCAAGCAATTCAAATTCACTATTAAAGTCCTGGCTGTAAGTGATCTCATTTTTAACGCTTCTTTATCTCACATTTAAACATAACATTTTGTATGCGTTTTTGTTAGGTCAAAGAATAACAGACACTTATTGCAGTTATGAGATCTTCGCACCATGAGAAAACCAAACGAACAGATTGTAACATGCAAAGCATTGGAATGTAAAAAAACATTTTACTTATTCTTGTTGTTGATCGGATAACATTTTAGGGCTTTTCGTCATAAAAGTTTTAGAAAAGAGAAAAAATGTTTCAGTAGATATATTCTGTGAAATATTTTCAGTAGATAAGTCTGTGTAAAAATTTACTTGTCTCTAATAATTGCAGGCATTTTGTAAAATGTTTGTCAATTGGTCAAGGCATTATGTTGGATGCTTGACATTAATAGTCAGTAAATTAAAATACTTCTTTAATGTCTTTTACTTTCAGTCTATTATAAAATGCCTACATTTATAATCTGCCTTTTCGATCATAAGTAGACTGGGACCAATGAATTGATTTATTAGTCCAAGGTATATAAATTACCAGCATCTTAACTTCGTCCTAAAACGTACAAACCAGTTTATTTTTATCATATCAGAATTTTTTTAATTTTAAAATTTTCGAACATATTTAATTAAATAAAAACTAGAAAATTAAAAGGAAATCATCGCTTTTAAAATATATATAGCCTCCAATACAAACTAGGGAATCCGTATACAAATCTATAATCTAAAATAATTCTGTATAAAAATTTCTGCTTTTCTGTTGTTTTATATATATTTTTAATGTGTCTTGATTTTTCAAGTGTTAACTTGGAGGATATTATGACAGATGTCATTAGTGTGGAATTTTAAAAACTATGTTAGCTTTCTGCATTATCTGGTTTCTTTTCGATGTATTACACACTGTCATAAGTTCTGATTTATATTTTGTTTTTCTTTGCATTTGTCTTAAACCGAGTTTGCTGTGTATTTGACCAATTCTTAGTTTTTATTTCTTCGATTCATGTACTATATTCAACTGTTATCAATTTTGCCAACCCTTATATTTCTCTTGTATTCCTGTCATGTTGTTGACTTGCCGCAAAAGTCAACCCGTTGATTTCTTTAATTGTCGACATAAAGACATAACAAAAATTGTCTGTCTATTAAATTGCCGATTTGTCTATTTAACGTCTTGCCGACCTGGTTGACTTGTTGACTTTAAATTTTGTAAGGATTTTATCATACATAACTGCCATCTTTTAAACCTTTTTACTAATAATTAAGTATTCCCATTCGAGTCCGGTCGACTTTTTGACATACACAGTCATAAATACAGTCTTTCCCAATCTACTCCTCCATTCTTATAATCCAATCGCTTTCTTCAATTTGTCAAAATATGATGTATTGTTGATGAATAAAAGGACGGTTATTGCTGGTGTAATTTTTTGAAAGACTAATAACTAACTTACCTGAAATTTAAATAACTAAGTTAATACAAGTACCTAAGATAGAATGACACTATTTAGTTAGTTGATTACCATTATATTGAGGCAGGAATAGATCATGTGAGTACTGTGCTGTCACGTGACTGATGTTACTGTTTTATTATTTTTGCGATAAAGAACTTCTGTTCAAGTTCAATACAAATATATGTTTGATGGAACAAGTCTTGTCCTTTGAACTAAAATATTAAAACAATAGATATTCTTATCTGTTAGACTTGCATTTAAAATCACTCTTATTGAATACAATCGGACTGGCATTTTTATAACTTTGTGAAGTATGATATATTTCTACTTAAAAAATAATTATTGACTAACCAGTTAAATTGTAGCCTACTAATCTGAAAGAATGTTCGCTATTCTTGTTTATCATATATATACTTATAGAAAATAATGGTATAATTGTACCCCATGATAAAACTTATTTGTACATATATTTATTCATTAAATTTGAAGAATTGCCTTAGCCGTGTGATATGACTTTTGTTATCAACTGCTTCCGGTTTATATCAACTGCTTCCGTTTCATATCAACTGCTTCCGGTTATTATCGCATGCTTTTCTGTAACGTTATCGCATGGCAGTTCGGCGTCATTCGGCAAATTCTGGAAAATGTACCTCAATGGTACTTTTTTTTTGTAAAACATAACAAAGTTGGAGAAAAAGAAAATATTAATAATCAGGAAAATATATAATTAAAAAATACAAAACAAATATTACAACAAACGCATTGTTTCAAAGTTTTAAAAATAGTTTTGTCTGTATGTCTTCTGCTGAAGTTTATGATAAAAAGAACATAACATGTCGTTTTTTCATATCAGACCCCTTATCAGCCCATGGTCAAAATCATCCCTCGAGCCTGTCGGCTCTCGGGCTGATAACATGACTTAAGGCTGATAAGGGGTCTGATATGAAAAAAGGCCATGTTATAATCTATATTTATGACTATCAGTCAGATATTCGGAATCCTGTAGTTTTATCCATGTAGTTACAATAAAAAAAAAATGCCGGTTAATCCTTACTTTTCTTTTCATAATTTTGTAGCATGCACCTGGAAAACCATGTTAGAAATACTTATAAAGTTTCTCATAGGTTTTGAAAGAAAGAAAATAACAATGTAAAATGTAAGAAAAATCTGGAGAAATTCATTGGCCGCCAATTTTGCGGATTATTTCTCGAAACAAGAACACGGACCTTAAGAGTTAATTAGAAAATAAACATTCTGATTGTACACATATTTCAATTTATTCTAAATTAAGGATAATTTACATTGAGACAGCATTAATAAGTATTTCTTTTCTATGTATAAATCTATACAACAAACTATATTTGGAATTGATTTAGGATCCTTTTTGGTATCCCAATTCTTTCAGTAAAACTATTCCAAAGTTGTTACGGATTAATTTTTTTTTCTGTATTTCACTTCTATAGTATTTATATTTTGCAGTTTTGCATGATCTTCTGAGTTTACTAAATGTCTTATAATCTTCAGGATTTTTTGAAATCTTAAAATCAGATAATAATTTGTCAAAATCTCTGCTGACATCCATGGTTCTGTTCTTTGTTTAATACAAACTCGATCTTTAAGAGGGGCAACACTGTCAAGAATATCCATAAATTTTTTTTAAAATATGACCAGTCTGGCCTCGTTTATCATTTTGTTTATGTCTGAAGCACTGAAGCACTTTTCCCATTTTAATTCAGTTAACGTCACAGTACCCAAATTGCACCGAGTACCCAAATTGCACCTATTCAACAAAAATAGCTGCAAAAATCTTACAAGTTTTCTTTGAGACTAAATAATTTGTATTTTTATGATTTGACATTATAGACGTCTTTTAACATAGGTAACTATATTCAAATATACAAAAAAAACATTCACAGTATATATTTCAACAGATGAAGCACACTGGAAAAAGTAAAATCTACTGAACGTCGCATTGCGACGTTCACAAAAAGTCATCTTTTAAAAATGAGCAAATAAAATATGTTACAAGCATCTATTGCTTAAAAAATGAATACTAAGAAAGGACTAATGTCAAATTGTTCTAAATGTTTGAAGAAATAAAACAAAACAACTGTTATTCGATTTTTAAGGATGTGAATTAAAGCATGGTTGCAATTTGGGTACTCCTCATTACAGAATCATGGATCGTTTGGAGGTCGGTTCAAACCCATTTTTCTATGAATCACTATGGATTCAAAATTAAATTGGTGTAACTATACAGTTAAAAGGATACATCTACAAAATAAACAAAGAATGGTAACTTTTGGCTTGAAACGTAGGTGAAAAAACTGTCAAAATAGGTGCAATTTGGGTACCCTCACGTTAGCTCTAAGCTATAAACTCAACTTTTCACAGATCTGACTTTGACATTATTATGCTTATTATATAGAAATTTCGCTTATTATCTAATAAAATATACAATATACAAGAATGATACAATTTCCGGTAGATTATGTGTGCCGGCGCGTGACTGCAATTTTAAACTGTCAGTTTTTTTCTAGGGTTCACGTGTTGCATTACTTTCATGTGGAGAAAATTCAGGGGCAATAACCAATCCTTGACGAAAAGAAAATGAGGATGAAAATAGTATTCAAAGGTAGAAAATTGGTGAAATTACAGCATTAACATCAATGTGTATTTCAAGTGTTTTGTATATACAAAATTGAATATTGGAATTTAGCATAGTTTTATGTGAGAAATAATGGAACATTATATATTATAATTGTCATAACATTATAAGAAAAAAGGGGGAGTAGCACAGGAATGCGATGCTAAAGCCAAGGCCTACCCACTCTGGGTCTCAATGTAACAAAGACAGTTTTAAATTCTCATTCTTAAGCCAAACAATCAAAGATTAGATTGGGATAAATTACCATAAACCAAACCACCACAGACAACTGTAAGGATGCACTCACTTGGGGTCTCATTGAATAGTCTTAGTATTTGGGGGTTCTGATCTCGGATCCCAATTATTGTTTTATCAGAATCCCATATCCCACTTAGCATTGTAATAATTTCACGTTTCCTAGCCTACTTCATTTCATGTGTTACGCTTACAAAAAAATCATGCCAATCCCGATCAGGCTTACACCCCAATGAGACCAATCTCACTCATGAAGTCCTCCTTAAAACATTCTCTCACCTTAACTAAATGAGACTATCTTTTTAGTCCCCTACCGACGAAGTCGAAGGGGACTTTAGGTTTGCACTCCGTCCCTCTGTCTGTCTGTCCGTCTGTCCTTCTGTCAGTCCGGCAAATCAGCTTTCCACACTTTTTTTCTTCGTTCTTGAAGATATTGATTTGATATTTGGTATATAGTTTTATCATGACAAGTTATAGATCAAGTTCAAATTTTGTTCCGGTCTGATGATTTAATCCAGAGTTATGGACCATAACTCTGGACCATATTTAATGTTAGAGTACTATGTTAAACCATATTTCTGTACAAAGGGAGATAACTATTTTTTTAAAAGACATTCTTTGTTCAATTTTTTGAAGAATTTTTTGGCAGGTTTGTTAGTTATTTAGTATAAACTAATTTTCTGAATGCTATATATATAAAAAAAAATTATGAAGAGAAATCCTTTAATTAGATAATAATCTATTTTTATTATGTATATATTTCAATACATTACATTGTGTAGATAAAAGTTGTTGACATTTTATAGATAAGTTACAAATCTATATTAGTTTGTGACAAATGAAAGAAAAAATATTTGGAAATATTAATTATATTTGATTATAATTTGAAAATAGATATACACTGTATTACTTCATATCTAATTTTAGAGAAGTTCTATTAATCATATCTAATGTTTTTTCATCATGCTTATACGATGTTGATTGATAATTGGTATATATATAGTTTTATCATGACAAGTTACAGATCAAGTTCAAATTTTTGTTTTGGTCTAATAATTTTGTGCAGAGTTATGGTCCTTGGACTTGAAAAATTCACTCATATAATCAGTTTTCCACACTGTTTTTAGTCATGCTTGAAGATATTGACATGATATTTACTTTTTGTTTACACCATGGCAAGTTATATAAGTTAGCATTTTGTTCCAGTATAATGAATTTTTACCCGGAAGGGGACTATGTATTGCCATGCAATACTCTCAGAATGCTTGTTTATCTTAATATGAAAAAAAATATATAAGAATGTTAAAATAAAAAATGTATGTGTACAGTCATGACAGTATATAATAACTAGATATAGATAAAAGGAAAATTGTAATTACTGTAACTTCAGTGCAACCTCACTCAGGCATGTGCTGGAAAGTAATCCTCAAAACGTTGATGGTTTTCTGTACCTAGAGAAGAAAAGGATAAGAAGAATAACAAATAACAACAAAAAGTCCACAGAAATCTAAAGATTGAGCCATGGTAAAAAAAATGGGTGAAGAAAAGATTCTCAATCAGTTCCTAATATTACCATGACTACTACTAGTTGTGTTGTTCAAAAAGAAATTCCAGAGCTTAATCTGGGACGATTATAAAATCTAAAGTATAATCATCCCATGCTTAATCTAGGATTTTAGAGAGGCAAAAGTTATTTCTTCCTCCAGGAGAGAGTAGCCTGAAGTGGAATTCCATTACTGCCATGACTGCTTTGTTTGCATTGTGTATTCATGTTTAGCTTTGACACATATGTATATGTATTTAGGAAAGCATATTTCACAGGCAAAACTGTCAAAAGAAAAATGGCCTGCAATATTTTAAATGAATTCTGTCCAATGACAAGCTGCCAGATATGTCTTTAACAGGTACCATCTCATCAGTAGTCCTACATGATATCATAAATTCATTAAACTGGCCAACACTACAACATGTACAAGAAAGAAGACTATGCAAAAGATTAATAATTCTCCATTAATCTTGATAGGGAGTGTAGACAGCTGATGCATACAAACTTTGTTTTTTTTTTTATAGATTTTATATAAACTTCTCAATTTCAGAAACATTGTTAGACTTGCGGCAGTAATGCCAAATGTCATTAATCATTAGATGTGTTTCCTATAAATTATATATAAGTCCTCGGATCGTCGGTGAAATTTGCACAAATTTTTTATGGGCAAATTCCACTTTCCATGAATCACATATATGTCACAAAACCCTCTGATTTTTATAGTATTTAATCATTATTTAACTAGAGGGCTGGATCTACTTGGGATTGGATTAGTTTTAGGCGGGAACAACCTGATACCATACTATGCATGTATGCCTAGAAAGCAGGTTCAACAGATGCATTTCAAATAGTCAGGGGTACTACTTGTACAAGTTATTTTTATTTACTTGCATGTATAGGTATATTATTTAATGGCTTAGTTACGTCCCTTAGACATTCAGATTTTTTTACTTACTGTATACAAGTAAAAAGTCATACTATCTTCTTTTCTTGATTTTCTCAGCATTTCTCAGGACTTCTTTGCTCTAATAGAATTTTTAATTGTCTGTCCTTTGCAGATGTCTTTACTAATCATTGAAGTGTAATTTCATGGACATTGAAAATCTCATTTGTCTGTTATCTTCAAAACACTGCTCATTTATTTATAAGCCTCCAAGGGGCAATTTTTGAAGGCCTTGCACAATAATACTTAGGATCTTTGCGCAATTAGTTTCTCTGTTGAATTAATGAGATGATACATTTAACTCTAATAATAAATTATGAGCTAACCAGAGAAAAATTGTTTAAGGCATGATTTTACATCCCAAAACTTGAGAATTTTCGGGATTGTAAAAAAAAATTACTTGTACATGTAATTTTTTTGAGAAAATTAAGGGGAGATTATTCAAACTTTGTAAGAAAATATGAATATAACAAATTTACTTATATAGGTATATTATTATTTACTTCTTCAACTAAATGAAAATAACTTGTACAAGTAGTACCCCTGACTGTCAAAAGAGCTCTAGAGTTTTAAAAAAATATGTCCAACAAAGCAAAATATATATATATCAGAGTTTGGCAACAATACACATGATAAAGAGGTCAATTCAGTATAATACAACAATATGATATGTAGCCAAACTTTACTTTTAATAATTTTTCTTCTTCAGTTGTACAATAAAACTTAAGGATACTGGAGATAGCTTGTTGTTTGAGCATGCATGGTATTTACAAAAAGTTATTTTTCCATGTAAACATGGTATTAAAATGCCCAATAGTGGTTTGTATATGTCTGCATTTAAGTATGTGTTTGGTTTTGTGTTGTCAGTGTCAGTTGATAAAAGTATCTCATATGGTATGGCAATAAGGCTGTGAATAACTTTCTGAAATATGAGCCCTTCTTAAAGGTGGTGTTCAGATAATGAAGGTATTATTAAGCTATTTATCATATTGGTAACTGGTGTTATTTTAGTTATAAATAGCTATTACAAATATATCTACAAAATGTAGTTGCTGGTCTCTGAACTATTTCTATAAATTTGTTGTGTACCATCTTTTAGTGTGAGGGTCCCATAAACTGCAACTGTATTCTAGTTTAGGTCTTACTATACTATTGCTTGGTATGCTCTGGTTTTGATATCCGGTTTAATATTTTTAGATTTCTTTTAAGTAATCCTTTAGGGTTTAATTCATTTCGATATAATGTTATCATTATGTTGGTTCCATGTTAGATTTAATTGTAATGTGGTTATGTTTAAGAATGTGGTTATGTTCGATGTAATCATGTAAATATGGTTTATTTTTATGAGATATTATATGTCTGGGTAGAAAGCATTTAAGCCAATCTGCTTCCAACCTGGGTGCAGTGTCTGGATCTTGTTGTAATTTATGGCATTCTTCTTGAGACTTAATTTCTCTGTCATGCTATCATTAGCAAAAAATCTGAATTTGCTATGTGTTAGATATTCTGAAAAGTCATTGATGCACATTAAACCGATGTAAATTATCGATTAAAAGCATGAAAAGAAGAAATTAAAGTTACTGCATAACATGAACAGAATTGAAATTTATGGATAGTTCTATTCAGCTAGAAAAGTTAACTAGTATAGTTAGCTATCACAGGGCTACAGACACATGAGACATGATAGATACAAATTGAATCTATGACAAATTTAACATATAGGTGGCAATTAGAATGGTTCATAGATAACAATACTAGTGTAGATTAATTTTATGAATATTAAATAAGTTTAACAGAGTTATGTATATCAGTGTTCTCCCTAGATATTTCATGTAGCATCCTGGTAAACAGAGAAATTTGAAATACCATCTTGTTATTCAAAATTATAGCATCACATCCATAACGCATACTATAAGAAAATCAATTCAGATAGCATCACATTCAAGAAATATAGCATCACATTACCATGATGCTAAAAGGCCATGGGGAGAACATGTACATTGGGTATATATATAAGATAGCATTTATTGTCAATAAACACATGATAAAGGACTTGTTTCTGACAAAATCAGTACAAATATTAGATACAAACAAACATGTTACAAAATATTACACTAAGCACCATACTAAGTGAAAAAAAAAAGAAAGAAAAACTAACCCAATTTAGGAGCATTAGCCATGCAAATGGGGTTAGTTAGTTCATACTGAAATATTAGTGAAAGTAAACTAAACCTTAGCCATGTGCGCATTGATGACCCTATTTAGTTGGGTTAGTTTTCATCATACATTTCTTATCAATTTTCCAGAATTCAAAATTATTCCAGATTCAAATAATTCCTAATGTTAGTATATAAGAAAATAAATCTGATATTGTTTCACGTTTGAGTGATTGACCAATCAAAATATTAATTTTTTACCCCACCAAATAACCAGGGTCTCCTTAACTCACAAACTCTTCAAGAGTATGCAGTTCTCTTCCATCTACTCTATAGTGGCTCACATTGTGTAGTCATCATTTTTGACTCGGATATTCCATAACCATGATAACAGAGATTTAAATAAAAGAGGTTAGAAAAAAATGAATTACTATTCATTTCAAAAGCGCAACAGGAATTTTGTGAAACATAAGATATTTATACATGTATTTATGGAATGTTAAAAGTATGTATGTATGGAAGAGAGGTGAATGAGAATCTATTATTTTTTTCTATTTGGCCTTGGTTGAATAAATCACCATTATTATCATGAAATTATGATAACCATTTCAGTAATTTATTAATAGACATAGATACTTGTACTGTTACACTGGTTTGTACAATTAATTATGTTAAAAAATCATGAAGTTTATAAGTACGTTAAGTATGGAAGTTGGACTTCATTGTTCAATTAGGAAGTATTAACATTTACGTGTGATGATTAAATTTCATGTTTTTATGATCAATGATATCACATGGTTATTAGGATTATTTTACAATGTAATAGTAGGTAAAATTTAAGTATTTTCACAAAATTTATGACTATTATTTATAGATTTGTTGCTACATTTTCCTATTCAATGTGAATCTTTTCATGAGAATGCATGTATTTGAATAAACTTTCAGAACTGATAAGTTTTAAGCAGACAGATACAATGTGTTCGTCTTTAGATTTATGTAAATTATCCATGATAAACATGATAAAGTCAATTGATTACTGATTGCAGTAACAGCATCAACCATTTGTTACCAGTTGACATTTGGATACTTTCTGAATTTTAATGAACTTAAGTTCAGTGCAATCCTAAATTGACTTTCTCTATTGAATTTTATTTATTTCCTCCAACATGAATTGATTTTGATATTTTTTACTTTCTTTACCATTGTAATGTGGTTAATCTTCAACTAAGATTGGACCTAACTTTGGTGTTTATCTGTGTAATCCATCACCCTTAATTTCACTATATGGTATTTTTGTCACCATTAACAATGTAATTACTGTAAATTCAGAAATTATTGCGATGTTTATATTATTGCGAAAAATGCGACAGGATTATAATCGCAATAATTTAATTAAACTCGCATTTTGAAATTTTTTACATGAATTAAACAGGATTTTTCTCAATATCGCAAAAATTCAAATCGCATTTTAGTCTAAAATGACAAAATCGCAATAATTAATGCACGCAATAATTTCTGAATTTACAGTAACTATGATAGTGTTCTACTGTATAAATAGTGGACAGAGACGGTGACCAGGACTTTGGTGTATCTGTGTTACTCCTCAGTATTAGTTGAGTATTTCTTTCACCATTAACTATTCCTTGTTATGTTCTAATTCGTTGAAGATTCAAACAAACATAAAGCATTTATTAACTAAATCGGAAAACCTGTTCCCTGGAGTGTTTTAAAGAAAACAAACTTTTGTATATATGGGATCAGCTCGATAAGAGATGCAGCAAACTTTGCTGCACGAATGTAGAGCTTCAAATAATCAATACAAATAAAAACATTTAATAAGAAAATGTTTCGGGCGAAATTAAATTTCGTGCTATTTACATAACAATATGATTCTATTATTAGTCAGATTATAATGAATATACTGCATTGCAGTCTTAATTCATCCAATCAACAAACAAAGATATCTTATATCTGTTGTATTGTCCTTACTCATGTTACTTCATCAGCTAATCAAAACACCTTATCATACACACCCACATGTATTATGACATGTTGTAAACAAAAACACATGTTCAGCTACCTTTAAAAAATTAATTTTGTATGCATGGATTAATAGAGACAATGGCCAGGAGCTTGGGACTAACTGCATTATTATTCACCATTTTAGTGTGTCTCTTTACTCTACATTTGTATAGATTTAATTGTTTTTCACTGTAGATATGAACTTGGTGATATCTGTGTTATCCTTCATTGAACATTATGGTGAATCCTTCAGTAATCATTCCTTATTTTACATTGTAGGTATGTAACTGGAGACAGACAGAATGGCATGGAGTTTGGTGATATCTGTGTTGTCCACCCCCTCCATTATGGTGAATCCTTCAGTAATCATTCCTTATTTTACATTTTAGGTATGTAACTGGAGACAGACAGAATGGCCTGGAGTTTGGTGATATCTGTGTTATCCTTTACTTTTGTGGTGAATCCTTCAGTAATCATTCCTTATTTTACATTGTAGGTATGTAACTGGAGACAGACAGAATGGCCTGGAGTTTGGTGATATCTGTGTTATCCTTTACTGTTATGGTGAATCCTTCAGTAATCATTCCTTATTTTACATTGTAGGTATGTAACTGGAGACTGACAGAATGGCCTGGAGATTGGTGATATCTGTGTTATCCTTTACTTTTGTGGTGAATGCTTCAGTAATCATTCCTTATTTTACATTGTAGGTATGTAACTGGAGACAGACAGAATGGCCTGGAGTTTGGTGATATCTGTGTTATCCTTTACTTTTGTGGTGAATCCTTCAGTAATCATTCCTTATTTTACATTGTAGGTATGTAACTGGAGACTGACAGAATGGCCTGGAGTTTGGTGATATCTGTGTTATCCTTTACTTTTGTGGTGAATCCTTCAGTAATCATTCCTTATTTTACATTGTAGGTATGTAACTGGAGACAGACAGAATGGCGTGGAGTTTGGTGATATCTGTGTTATCCTTTACTTTTGTGGTGTACCTCCTTCACTATTCTCACTACCTACTAACTGTTCGTAATGGCTTAGATGGACTTCTAGAACATTTATGGTCATGTAAGCTAGATAGCACATTTATGTTTAAGAAGAAGGAATAATGTTACTGTGTACTTTTTGCAATTTTAATTGTTATTTTTGCAATCTTTTGCCAAAAAATAGGGAGGGTATGGGAAGTGCTGTGGCCATGCCTGGCATCTGTCTCTCTGATTGTCCTTATATTTTTTAATAAAAAAAATGATTGTAGTTTAATTTTATCAACTCCTGATATGAGATTATTTCCTTATACGAAAGACTTTGATCAATTTTCCTTATTGAAGTTATTGCCCTTTAAACTAAAGATGTTTTTTTTTTCACTTGTAGCATATTTGGTTATCATCTTTAAATTAATAAGGGCTATTCCAGAAAAAAATATATTTGGGGGATTGGAGGGGTTTGAATAGCCCTATTGAATTTGATTATGGTAAAGATACTTTTAATGGATTATAGAATTAATATTGGTTACCTATAGTTGTTGTAGTAATGCCCCTGAAATAATGTTATAATTACTATTGAGGGGAAAGTAAAATTATGTAAACATTGATAAATCAGTATTGTTAAATGCAAAAACTTTGTTATTCCTTCTTCTTACATTTCTGTAAGGTTTGCTGCAACTATCATATGACAATTATGTGAGTTATAAAAGATTGAATTGTACATGTCATATTTTATAGATTTTTTTTAACAAATAATATTTAGGAGATTTGGATACTGTAAATTCAGAAATTAATGCAATGTTTTTATTATTGCGAAAAATGCGACAGGGTTATAATCGCAATAATTTAAACTCGCATTTTGAAATTTTTTATATGAAATAAACAGGATTTTTCTCAATATCGCAAAAATTAAAATCGCATTTTAGTCTAAAATGACAAAATCGCAATAATAAATGCACGCAATAATTTCTGAATTTACAGTAGTTAAGGATGGAGGTGTGCAATTTTTTTATTTTTGTGATGTCACAACTGCATTTATTGTGAAGTCATGCATTGAAAACTACTGTTTTAAAATTTGCATTAATTCAACTTTTAAACTCACATACAGGTAAATGGAAATCTTAAATTAAAAGTTAAATTTCAGTAAAAGATTAGGCCAAATAAGGTCCTTATCACACCCTGTCCTTCGAGAGTCATGTGATTTCTGCAGCAAACACTTAGTCACATCAAGATCTAATCTCATTGATACATGTATGTACTGACAAAATAAAATACCACATTTGTATTAGTTTAACTCATTGCACAAATTGCACAAATAATTTCTGAAAATGTCTTACATGTTCTAAACATTTAGATATACATTAATCTCTGAAGGGAAGATTTCTTTGCAGAATTTGTGTGTATCAAAAGGTTTACCTTCATAATATTATTTTTATAATCTCTTAAATATAATCAAGATGAATATAAGTACATCTACATACACGAACCTCTGACATACATGTTATAGTACAAACACTAAAATTGAGAATGGAAATGGGGAATATGTTAAAGAGACAACAACCCGACCAAAGAGCAGACAACAACCGAAGGCCACCACTAACATATTTTGAAGTCTAATGATTTTAATTTACTTGCTAGATACTCAATTGCTCAAGATTTTTTGGTGTAGGATTGCTAGAAATTGTATTGTATAACCCATTGTGTATTTGGTGTTGGATTGCAAGATCATGTAGTTATTAAAGTATTTAGTTTGCATAAAGGGTCTTTTCTCTTTGAACTTGATTGGTCTGTTGTATTAACAAGATTAACATAATTGTCTAGGGCTGTTGTAACTTCTGAAATCTGATTAGTATCAAAATACTTTTCTCACTTGAAAAACAGAGGTGGTAATTTTATAAATTTTAGTATTATACATGGAAGTATATCAAGACAGATATTTGAATATAACTTTTTAGTTACTGTTGTTTCATTTATTTTCGATGGATACCAATTTTAGTAGATTGAGGAAAAATGGTATTTTGGTGGATCTTTGTTTACATGGTTTTGCCAAGTCTGCCTACAAACCTATAGAAAATGTGCATTTCGTTGAACATTTAGATTTGTGGTTCACCTTTACCCACGAAATCCTCAAAAATTGGTTTCCAATAAATAATAATGAATCTACAAGAGTTTATAGATAATATATTTATATTTTTTTTCAAACAATATTCAAGTATAGTCCTCAAGAACCCATTCAAATAATTATTCTACCTTGCTCAGTTGAGATTTTGTTTAAAAAAAAAAAATCACTTGATTTTAAAAAAGAATATCCAAGTTCTACAGTTAAGACAGGAATGACTTTCTACATGATTTTGTATGTTATTTTTTCATTCAGAACATTTATATAATTTCTTTTAAAAGAATGTTATCTCTGGTTCTGACATCTGTATATATATGGAAGCTTATAAAGCTAGGTAAAAAAGTAAATAAATTTGCCAAAATTTACCAAGCTTTATTTTTTTAGCATGATAGCAGATATACAAGTGTTACTTTCTTTTTGCCTTATCAGAATTATTGAAAACCAGTACAAATCGTACACATCTAGGCTTTTTTTTTTTAAAATGCTATCATTTTTTGGGATATGGTATTCCTATTTCCAAAAATATCCTTTAAACATGCATCAACTATCTATATTTATTTAATCTAAGAAAATCTGTCTTTTTTACACACTTTTTTACAGGGATTTTAATACCAGTGTTTAGTGCCACTGGCTATGTCTGTTATGATTTCTACAGAAGAAATGTGACACCAAATCATACAATTAGAACTTCAATAGATCATTATATTGCCATCTCATCCTTGTCATGGGTCGGTTGGTACATGAGACGGAAATTAGAAAAAGCAACAAAAAATGTAAAGCAGGCACAGGATGAACTGTTATTACAGAGACTTAAAGATAATGCTGAAACATTGTATGGGAAAGAATATCAATTTGGAGAAATAAAAGACAGGGAGGAATATGTTAGAAAACATCCATTGACAAGAATTTCTCATTACGAGCCATATATACAAAAAATGTTGGAAACAAAAGAATGTGAAAACATTTTGACACATAAAAAGCCGATTCAGTTTGCTGTGACATCAGGAACCTCAGGTAAGAGTAGTATATTACCTATGACAGGTGAACAAAGACTGGCATTTTTTACTCATGGCATAGCTGTAGTGTTCAATAGTTTACTTCAATCTTTACCAGAGAACAAATGTATTCAGAAAAGTTTGAAATTATTTTATACTCCACGATGGAGGGAATCAGCTGGAGGTCTTCCTATTGGACCAAATTCTTCCTCTCCAACAAATTCCAAGGCCTTGCTTAGTATATACTCAACACCAAAACCCGGGTTTGAAGTCCTTTCAGAGCCAGAAGCATTGTACATCCATTTATTGTTTGGTCTGAAGGACAAATATCTTGGGATGGTAGAAGCCAATTTTGCCTCAATTGTTCTCATAGCTTTCCAAGCACTAGAAATGCAATATAAAAGTCTTATAGAGGACATCGAACTAGGAAGAATTAATCCAGATCTAAAAATCACTGATGAAACAAGAAATGAATTGAACAAACTTTTATCCCCTGATAAAAACCGTGCCAATGAACTACGAGAAGCATTCAAAGGAGGTGCTGCCGGATTAGTTAAACGTGTCTGGCCTTCATGTCATTTAATTCTTGCTGCTGACACTGGTGTCTTTACTTTGCCTGCCAGTATCCTACTGGAAACCTATTGCAAAGGTATACCTATGTATTCTCCATTGTATGCAGCATCAGAAGGATTGCTAGGAGTCAATATCTGGCCGGAGGATAAACCAAGTAAATACATGCTGGTTCCTGGTTATATGTTCTTTGAATTTATACCAGTACAACATTGTGATGAAGATCAACCACAAACACTGTTCTTAGATCAGGTATATTTATATTTTAAATTACATATTTCTGCTCCATATGCACCACACTGGAAGGAAATTGTTTTTCTCACCTTTTTATTTCACCTGGCCCAAAGGGCCAAGTGAGCTTTCCTCATCACTTGGCTTCAGTAGTCATCTTCTGTTAACTTTTACAAAAATCTTCTCCACTGAAACTACTGGGCCAAATTTAACCAAACTTGGCCACAATCATCATTGGGGTATCTAGTTTAAAAAATGTGTCCAATGACCCCGCCTGCCAACCAAGATGTCTGACATGGCTAAAAATAGAACATAGGGGTAAAATGCAAGTTTTGTCTATTATTTTGAAAACCGTTATAAATAGAGAAAATATGACAGAAACGTTCAGAATGTTGAGCTCTACCAATTGTCCATTTACGTCAATACTGATAGGAGTTATTGTCCTTAAATGACAAATTTTACCTTTTTTTCTTCATTTTTGCCTATTATCTTGAAATCTATAATAGATATAAGAGAAACATTAAATTGTAAAAATGATCAGCAAGACAAGTTCTACAAATAAGTCTTATGGTTGAAATCATCAGTCGACATCTAAGTAGAGTTTTTGCCCTTTGATGACGATTTTTACCAATTTTTTGCGTTTTTGCCTTATATATTTTAAAAATTTAGATAGATAGAAAGAAACTTAAATAAGCAAAATCAATCAGCAAGACAAAATCTACAATTAAGACAATATGGTGAAAATTGTCCCAACGACTCCTTATTGGAGTTATTGCCCTTTACTGACGATTTTTTCCATTTTTTTTGCATTTTGCCTTTAAAGTTATATGATTAAAATTATAATAGATGGATAGAAACTTAAATCAGATAAGATCTACTAACAATTCAAATTTTGTCGATATAGTTAGTATATAGACTGTCACTCTTTATAGGAGTGATTGCCCTTAAATTAGGTTTTTTTTTTTAACCCTCTTTTGTGTTTTGAGCAAAAACTAAAGAAGATAGAGAGAAACTAAACAGACTAAAAGATCAGCAATACAAGATCAACTAAACCAAGATTTTTGTCATGAATTCTATTCTCGCCTACAGTGTTGGAGAGTGTCCTTTGTTGAATATGCATATAGACCAAGGTGAGCGACACATGCTCATTAAAATCTATTTTCATATTTTGCCACTCGATAACATATCATAATTCAAGGTTGGGATTCATTTTAGGGGTTTTGGGGCCAACAGTTTAGGAATTAAGGGCCAAAAAGGGGCCAAAAACAAGCATTTTTCTAGTTTCCAGACAATAACTTGTGTGTATGTGTATGGATCTCTCTGACATTGTACCACAAGGTTCCATATAACAAAGGGAAGGCTGGGATTGAGTTTGGGGTTAATTGCCCCAAATATGTAGGAATTAAGGGCCATAAAAGGGCCAAAAACAAGCATTTTTCTAGTTTCCAGACAATAACTTGTGTTTAAGTGTATGGATCTCTCTGAAATTGTACTTCAATGTTCCATACTACAAAGGAAAGGCTGGGATTGAGTTTTGGGGTTATTGCTTCGAAAGGGGGAGGGGGGGGGGTTTCCCAATTTTTTTAAGGGATTCATATTTTTTTTTCAAAATTTTTCAAATTTCGATTTTTTTGAAAAGTTTCAAGAAGAAATTTTCAATTGCACAGTATTTTTTTGTGTCAGAAACCTATGTTATGTCAAAAATTTGATCACAATCCAAATTCAGACAGTATCAAGCTTGAATATTATGTCCAAATTTGCCCAAACTGTTCAGGGTTCGACCTCTGAGGTCGTATCAGGCAGCGCTCAGCGACGCATTTTATTTTTTCATGTTACATTTATATGTATTTATTCACTGTGATAGCAAAAATACATTCATTTCTGAATTTTAACTTGTGTACAATAGATTTTGTGAATTGTGGGGAAACCAACGATGTCGACAAAGTGGTGTTTGTTGTTTCTGCATCATTTTGATGTAAATGTATTTACATTAATTTCCAATTGTAATAAATATTATTTTTTCCTACTGTAAATTCAGAAATTATTGCGAAAATTGCTACGGGACATGTTTCTCAAAAATAAAAACTGGGATTTGGAATTTCGATAGCATTAATTCCTTAAATCGCAATAATAAATCTGGCATATAAATGCACACAAAAATGTCTGAATTTACAATACTCAATCCCATTCTGAGTAATTCAAAAACACAATTAATATTTTAACATAATAACAAAGAATATCAACATGTAGCTATTCTAAAGTCTAGTACATGGATTTTTAAGCAAGGTAAATTTGAACAAAAGGCCACAATTGTTACAGTGACAGAGGTCTTTCAGAACTTTTCCAATGGAACCATATTAGTATTTTTATTATAACTGATACCTATAATTAACTATTCTGTTTAAAAGTTAAGGGATTCAAACATTTACATAAACATATTATGACATGTATATATATTATATTTTCCAGGTTGAGCTTGGTAAAGAGTATGAATTAGTGATAACAAATGCAGGTGGTCTGTACAGATATAGATTTGGGGATGTAGTGAAGATTGCAGGATTTCATCACCAATGTCCAATTATTGAATTTATGTATAGGTACAGCACTTTAAACCACTCAGTGTTTTTTTAACTGTTCATTCAGATATGATATTGAATCTGCATCCTTTCAATCTCTTACTCTATTTTAAATATATCATGGATGATATTGAATCTGCATCCTTTCCATCTCTTACTCTATTTTAAATATATCATGGATGATAGGGCGAAGAAGTCGCTTTCCCGTCCGTCACTTCGCTTTGCCTCACCCTCAAAAGCGAAAACAAGTCGCCCTGTTGTTTACGATACTCGCTTTCAGTCGCTTTCGTCATCAGACATTTTCAATTTTTACAAAGTTGATAAAACATCAATTTTTTATTGATTATTAAAGAAATTCAGACATAAACGATTCATTTTCTTAAGAAAAGAGGTTTAAGCATTGACTTTACAGTGTGTAGCAGGTAATTACATAAAAAGACAACTTTTTATCACTGCATGCACTTCCGGTACTTGTTACTCAGAGAGCGTACATCAATCTAACTTTCGGCGGCAAAATAAGTTTGTTACTTCATTTGAAAGTGATAAAAGTTGCCTCCAGTAAATGTTTAATCCATTTATTGCATTAAAAACGTCATATTCCTTTCCAAATAGCTTGTCAAACATCGTTTATTTATGTAAATTTTCTTCGTCCGCCATTAACCGTTTACTAACTACGGATTGGAACCGGACTAGCTATGACCGAAATCCATATTTTTACAATAATAACTACGGACGCATGAATGGAACAGCTGACAGAAGAATATTGATCCCAAAAGGAAAAATTACACATTCCACATGCATTAACAGACTTTCGGTTAGATCTAATTGATTAATGTATATAATTCCATATAATTTATATTGATTAATTCAAAATATTGATTAAAGTTGCTTAACTACTAATATCAATATATTATGGCCCAGCTTAACTTTATATATCTTTTGATGAGAAACACTGAATTTCATAAACATGATAAACAAGATAGTTTTTAATTGAATTGTAATTCATTTATTATAATATCTTTACCTTTTTGACATAAAAAAAATTCTTTTTAGTGCTAGATACATGTATTTAGTTGGTAGTTTCTCACAAGAACCTAAACTTAAACAACTTTGAATTTGAACTGTTAATTTAATTGTATACTCAGATATGAATTGAACAATATAAAAAGAACATTATTTACATATGACCCTTTATAGTATAGTAAAATCAAAACATTTTAGCGCAGCACGCAAAGGAGCACTTCTCGTTCAAATCTCAACACTTCTCCCTATCAGTTTCAAAAAGAGAAGTCACTTCTCCCTATAATTCTGAAGTAGTATGAACCCTGATCTCTTACTCTATTTTAAATATATCATGGATGATATTGAATCTGCATCCTTTCAATCTCTTACTCTATTTTAAATATATCATGGATGATAAGACAGACATTATAAATTTGGTCCGAATGAAAGAAGTCAAAAAGGGATAAAGAGGAATTCCATAGATATAGGAAGATGTGCCAATGAGACAACTCTCCATCCAAGTTACAATTTATAAAAGTAAACCATTATAGGTCAAGGTACGGCCTTCAACACGGAGCATTGGCTCACACCGAACAGCAAGCTATAAAGGGCCCCAAAAAATTACTAGTGTAAAACCATTCAAAGGGAAAAACCAACGGTCTAGTCTATATAAAAACAAGAAACGAGAAACACGTATGAACTACATAAACAGACGACAACTACTGTAATCAGATTCCTGACTTAGGACAGGTGCAAACATTTGCAGCGGGATTAAACGTTTTAATGGTACCAACCTTCTCCCTTTTCTGAACCAATAGTATAACATCACAACATAGAAAAACACACTATAAAATATCAATTGGAAGGCTTAACTCAATCAAAAAACGTAAATTAACACACAATGAACGAATAGATTTGACCTGTGACACCTGAATGCAAATACACAGTTAATCAAAAAATTACAAGGGATAAATAATTAAAGTCAAAAGTAAATAAACAGGTTTAAACAAATGAATAGATCACTAAAATAGACAATAGACATCCATCTTACTGCCATAAAGATGGACAAGCAATAAGTCACAAAAAGGTCTTAATTGTGAATAAATTGAACAGATACTACAATGTATCGATGGAAACATGCAAATTCTAAATATACAAAATATGAAAAGAAAATTTGATTTAATCTTAAATATGTAGAAGTTGACATAATTTAATTTGATCTTAAATATGTAGAAGTTGACATCCATTATTCTATGTTCACAGTAGTGATGAAAATATTATTGTTATCATTACAGACAAGGACAGTTCCTGAATGTAAGAGGTGAGAAGACATCAGAAAAGACATTCTATAATGCATTGATGAAGGCAGTCTCTAACTGGGAAGGATTGAAGTTAACAGATTATTGTTGTTCTGAGAGTTTATTGATAAGTGAAGAAGGCAAGGACATACTATCTTACAAAGACCAAAAATCAATCAATCAGCCTTTGTTAAGAAATTTTGAAGGGACACATCCCTTAATTAAAATATGTGCTCACAATGACAGTTAAAATATCAACATACAGGTTTTTAATTGTTGAAGGCCATAGGGTTGCCTATAATTGCTTACATCCACTTCATTTGAACTTTGGTGGATAGTTGTCTCATTGGCAATCGTACCACATCTCCTTATTTTTATATAGCTTGGTGAATATATACAATGATAACTAGTCCTTGTTTTTATTTTTTATCCTGAACATGATTATTTATGAAACATGCAAAAGTTATATTATTATTTTGTCACTCTAAGCAATTGATATATTACTCTGACATAGTATAAAGATAAAATGTATTCGACATGTTGGAAGTTTGATAATAGATATCTGTTATACTTGCAGGAGAGAAGAAGGACTATGCCCCATTTTATTATGTATTTTTGGAATTTGATTCAACAGATGGAGATGCTATGCTGACTGAGGAACAGAAAAATCAGGTAAAGGCAACTAGATTCCAGAAACAGGCATCCTTATCAATTCTGACAGATTTAAATACAAATGACTGACTCAATTTCCAAAATTTATTAATTTGAATTTAAAAATGTATCAAGATCCAACTTGGTCAATGCTCTTGAGCAAGGAAATGCAACTTTATGCAGGGTTGGACAAATTCCAAATCCAGCAGTAGAGTATGATTATGTCGGGCCGATGGGTAGAAGTGGGTGCCTAATTTGTGTAATCAACTCCTCATTCTGTTTTAACACAGATCAAAGTACACATGTTCATTATGACATGAACTTTTAAACATATATATGGGAAACCTTTTTAACCTTATTTAATGGTTCACTGATAGTGTGAGTGGGGAAAGGTGTCCTAAGGACACATATTATTATTATAATAAATTTTCAACAGGGGCTATGCAAATTAAAGCACAATAAATAATCCTTTTAATTCAATTCCATAGAAAAAAACAAATTTATATGTCAAACATGTACTTTTACTATTTCATAACTTAGTACAAGTTCAAGTTTTAGTAGTAAAAAATTAGACTACATGTATCATAAAACACCAAACAATTTTATGCCAATTTTACAGGAGTAAAATGATTGCAACATTTTTACAAGTCTAAGAAAACCTGTGTTGCAAATTTGGATTTATTTATAATTTATGCTCAGTTGAAACTTCTGGTTACCTGTTATATGTATAATGGTTGTCTCAGAATAGAAAAAAAACCATGGTGGAATCCTGAGTAATTTGCAATTTTAATTCATTAAGATCATTTTTATGCCCTAATTTCTATAGTAACAGACACTACATTTTCTGGTGTGTTAGTCCATCTGTTTTCTGTTCATCCAATTTGTCAAATCATCTGTTAACTTCAGTCCTGCAGTAAGTTCAATTTTTGGTTTAAGTTATTCAACCATTAAGTTGTGGTCACATCAACTTGAAACTTAGCACAAATGTTCATTATGATATGGGCTTTAATAAATTTATGCCAAATTAGAGTTTTGATCAAGATATCAGGATTGACTAGCATTACTCAACATAAAAAAGGATCGGGGTAAAGTTTTAGTTTTTTTAAGGTAGTTTAACATAAAGTTGTGGTCACATTAATTTGAAGCTAAGGACACACATTCATTATGATCGATGTAGGCTTTAGAATTACTTAAAAGGGATATCCACTCCCATTTATTTTTACAATATGCACACTACTATGATGTACTTGTTTCAGATTGACGAGACTTTGTGTAGCCTCTCCTATGTGTATGGATCCTTTAGGAAGAAAGGAAGTATACAGAAAATGAAGGTGAACATGGTCAAACCGGGAACGTTTCAGGGACTTAGACAGTTTGCCATAGAGACTACACAGGCCTCAGCTAATCAATACAAAATACCAAGGGTTGTCAAAACTAAAGAGGCTGCAGCATTTATGATGAAAAATGTGATATGATATAAGATGTTAAAGACTTATTGGAGATTGTGATACTGTTCATATTTTTAATCCTATTTATTTTAACTGCCAAAGCATTGTGATTAACAATCATAAAGAAGTTGTTTATTTGATGTATTTATACATTACAGTTTTTCATGTTTTGTGTTTCTATCTAAACAAGATTTCCACAAAAAATGAATTCTCTTTTGTTTGACTTGCTGCCTCACTGACATTCACTTCAAATCTTATTTCATTTTGAATTCTTTAAAGATAATACTGTAATAATACTGTAATTTCAGAAATTATTGCATTCATTTATTATTGCAACTTTTTAAGAATGGACAAAAATGTGAGTTAATTATTGCTATTTCAGAAAAATACTCATATAGATATCTGTATCAGATATATTATTGTGATAATCACCAAGTCGCATTATTCGCATTAATAGAATCCTCGCAATAATTTCTTAATTTACAGTACTTTAAAGATAATATTTATTTTAAGCAATTTTTTTGTTTCACACTTTTGAATAAATCTGAATAGCAAAACAGAAACTTGTCATATATATCTATGAACATGATAAAAGGGGGTCAGCATCATATATCTGCAACTCTACTTATAAAACTACAGACTGGATTTCAATGAAACTTTTTACAGAATCTTCAGTATCTTATGCTATTGTTAGTTTATATTTTTATTTTTTTGGGGTAAATATTGCATTAAATGCAATCAAAACCTTATTGTCTCATTCTTAATAGCTGTACTTTTTAGACCTAATCTCTACTTTTGAAAGAACACACATGGTGCATTTGCAGTGAGGTGAATATTCTGTAGATCCTTTCCATGTCCATGTCGAACAATTATTGTTAATAATATATACTCAGATATTCAAGTCATAAATTGATGTGTATAACCATACTTGTTAAGAAAAACATTTTTTTGGAAATGACATAAGTAATCTATCTGTTCTAATGTCAACCTATATTTGTTCCACCTATTAAACAGAAGTTCCAATGGAAACTTTGTTATAAACAATGCCAAAATATCTGTTCCTGTTGGAAAAACTATTCTATAATCTTTATTCCATCATGAACAATTACTGTAATATTTTTTTCCAGAAGTAATAATATTTCAGAATATTTCTTCCATTTGGAGCTCATATTATGAAGGAACTTCTATTTTTCATGACACTAAAATATGGTCAACTACAATTGTTGGTAAAGGAAGATAACTCCAATTCAATTCAAAATATTTTTAATTGATGTTTAATTTAAAGTTCACATTTATTTCAAATGGAAGCAATTATCTTTACCCTTCAGTGCCCACAAGCACATTTATTAATCCTGATGACTTAACGGTTCATTTAGAAAATTAGACTTTGCATATCTAAACAAATGGGAGCTATATTCATAGTTTAGTTTGGAGATTGTAAATCACATTCTGCTTTCAATAATGCATACTTGACTAATGCTCTGTTGTGATTACTGTGTTTTAGACTTATAGATATATCAGGAAATGGGGATTGTGCAAACAAAAATATACTCCTGAGAAATGACATTGTAGTTGAGTTTTGTAAAATGTTTATCATAATGATTTTTTATGCAAAAGAGTTCAGCTTATTTTACTTCTAAAAGATAGTGTGAAAATTGATCACAGTTATTTTTCACTGCCATTTATTATATGTATATTGAATAATACCTAGGAAAGCCATCTCATAGAATTATGAATCTGAATTTTAAAAGAATTATAGTTATATTTAATTATCTCCCTTTCATATTAGAAATAGTACTAGTTTTTTTCAAATTATAGTCATGGATATAAACCTCCATTTCTATGTGATATTTGTGACTATTAAAAATTTCAAAATGTGAGATCTAAATAATGAGATTGCAAAAAATATTGTGAAGGAAAAAATTATTACTGAAATTATAAGTGCAAGTTTTTATAATATTGCCAACCTGATGATGTAGCATTTTCAAATTAATAAAAACATCTCAATAATTTCTGATTTTACAGTACTTGTAATCAAACAGTATGTAAAAGTGTTTGTTCATAAAGATAAATGATTTTCTGTTTTATTTCTCGCCCATGCTCTGCAGTGCCAAAAACTAGTATCACTTCACATCAAGGGAAAATAAATGTAATAATTTCCAAAAGTGCTGATGTATTGTTATTTGTATTGTTTCACTGTTTGTATTAATTTATCAAAATAAAATATCATCAAATATGTTTCAACTGATCTATATATAGTAGTCTGACTAAGAGCATTCAGTTGCTGTGTAGGACATTAAAACACAACATCGATAGATAGAACTGATGTTATTGCAGAATTTATGATGTACAGAAATGATGTACATGTGTATTTACTATTAAGAGAAAATACAATTCATTATTAAAAGCATACAAAAGCTATGAATTATATTCAGAATAAATAAATGGATCATGTAGTCCATTTTGATACGATAACTGCACTTGAATTTTTACTTGATAAAATTTTGTTCGCTATGGAAATCTCATACATCGTCAAGTTATCTGAATTCCAATGGGGACTAACTGTGCACCAGTATTGCAGACCTGTTTCTGTATTGTTACGAATTACAATTTATGACTAAAATCAGCAACAACCCATCAAAAGAACATCTGATACAAAAATTAAATAACACTTATAGATATTTGGATGATATATTGGCTCTCAATAATGATGACTTTAGTATGTACACTAAAGAGATTTATCCTGTTGAACTGACTTTAAATAAAGCTAATACTAACAACTAACAATGCCCTTTCCTGAATCTTGATATCTATATCTTTAAATGGAAGCTTAATACTAAGATTTACGATAAAAGATATGATTTTTCTTTTTCTATTGTTAATTATCCATTTTTAGATGGTGACGTTCCCTTGGTACCAGCTCATGGTGTTTATATATCTCAACTTGTTTGATTCACTCATGTATGTAACAACGTACTTGATTTTGAAGAAAGAAATCTCTGCATTACTGAAAAATTATTACACCAGGGTTTTAGATATCACAAACTTTCAAAACATTTACTAAATTTTATCATTGGTACAATATAAATAAGATAATGAGGACATTATTCGTAAATATAAATCAATATGCAGACATCTTATACGTTCAGGAATTTCACATCCCATCATTTATGGTAATATTCTATATAAACCACAAAAATGTCGTCATTCACCTCAAAAGCTAACAAAACCTTTAAACGGACTCATTCAGAAGGGATATAGTAACCATACTGTTTAGTCATTAAAGATGGTATTTTTTGGAATTAATATTGATTCACTTATAGGGTCTTTGCATTGGAAATAAATAGATTTATTCCAGTAGTCCTTTGTTAATTTGTGTTGATCATTATCATTTTGCTTAGTTTCTTCTGCTACCTCAGTAACCTATTCTAACATCAGAATCAGACTTCTTTTAAACTGAGTTTGACTGTGTATTGCTGTGTGTTTGTTTATTCCACATTGACTAGAGGTATAGGTGGAGTGTTGAGATCTCACTAAACATTTAACCCCATTGCATTTTTGCACCTGTCTTTAGTCAGGAACCTCTGGCCTCTGGTAGTCTTGTATGTTTTTAATTTTAGTTCATTTAGATGATTTGGAGTTAAGTGTGGCATCCATTATCACTGAACTAGTATACATTATTGTTTAGGGGCCAGCTGAAGCCCACCCCCAGGTGCAGGATTTTCTCGCTGTTTTGAAGACCTGGTGGCCTTGGGCTGTTTTTCTGCTTTTTGGTCGGGTTGTTGTCTCTTTGACACATTCCCTGTTTCCATTCTCAATTTCATTCTCTGATCATGTCCAAAACCAATGATTTGTTTATATGTCACATGTTGACACATTAAACCTACTGAGGCATTGGCTTTATTGACCATTACATACAGATTAATAAAAGGAGATGTGAAACATTTATTCATTGAGATGGCAACCCAACAAAAAAGGTGAACATATTATCTTCAATAATATGTACAGATTTTTAATAAAATGGAGCAACCTTCATGTCATGACAAGGTAATTAAAGATTCTTACAATATTTTAATTATTTTCTTAGTTATATATGTAATAGAGATACATATAAATGGATCAAAGATTCAAATGGCCTGGTTGTGCAGAATGTTTCTTAAACAATGGAGAATGGTCTTTATTGAACATTTAAACCTGCATACAGAGTATATATCTCCCAGTTGATATATTCCAGGGCTTGTATTTCCTATCATGATTTCCTTAATAGAGGGTTGCTGCTCACAAGGAAGCTATTAAACCAAGAGTTCCAAGTGGTGAAGTTGAAATCATTCCTTCTTAAATTTAAGGATGCCATCACAAGTTGGTTGACCGTTATGGAATATCCGTTTCACAGATTACAGCCAATATGTTCCAATTGTTGTAACTACAATCCTGTTCCCCCTTTTTTCCACCCGAATGTGACCTACCGAATTAGACTTACTACCAGGTTTGTAATAACATGAGCAACACGACAGGGGTCCCACATGTGGAGCAGGATCTGCTTACCCTTCCGTAGCACTTAAGATCACCCCCAGTTTTTGGTGAGGTTCATGTTGCTCAGTCTTTGGTTTTCTATGTTTGTGTTATGTGTACTTTTGTTGGTCTGTTGGTCTTTTTCTTTTTTAGCTATGGTGTTGTTTATTTTTGACCTATGAGTTTGAATGTCCCTTTGGTATCTTTCGCCTCTCTTTTAAACATGAAAATATCTAGATCTTGATAAAAAAAGTCTTTTGAAAATTATGCCGAAGAAATTACATAGTTTCCAAGTCTGGAAAAAGGGGAACGACTGCAATATAGTGTGCTCTAATTCTGATTAACGGATGCGGTTTGATAACTATGGTTGAAGTTGATTACACAAGATAGGTACTGGTTTTTGTAACTTTAGCTGAAAAATTACTAAGTTCACAAATTCAGAAACAAATGGGAAAAAAATCCTACAACTCATTAACAGCAGGTGCACAACTGCAAACATGTGTGCTTTCTTTTGGTGAAGTTAAGGAGGTCTGGGTTGAAAATTGTAGCTGATTACACAAAAATTGGAACTACCTTGTGTAAATTTTGTTGAATAATGATAAGCACAAGTTCACATGGAAAAAATGCATCCAACAATTCCATAATAGCAGGTGCACAACTTCTACATGAGTCACAGAGTGCACCCTTTCTGTGAAGTTTCAGGGATCAGGGTAGAAAATTGTACTAAGGAGTTGATTACACAAAACTGGTACCATCTTTTGTAAATTTTGCTCAAAAAGACTTGGTTTCAGAGTCTGGAAAATCCTCATGTTCATGGTTCATAGGTCAATGTTATGTTTTCATGGTTAAATTCATTTCTCAGATACTATACGCAAGAGGTTAAATATATTTGGTGTATGGAATGATTGTAAGATGTACAGTGTCAGACTCTGTCTCTGTCTTGCAAAGTTCATCTGCCCGTGACCTCATTTTCATGGTTCATTGGTCAATGTTAAATTTTCATGGTAAAGTCCACTCTCAGATACTATAAGCAATAGGTTAACTTCATTTGGTGTATGGAATGATAGTAAGACTTTCATGCCTGTCTTGTTTTTCAATTAAGGTTTCATGTACTGAAAAACTAGTTTTAACACAACCAGTGGCAATGTTCAACCTTATTCTGGATTTGAGCAGGTTTATATAATATCTAGATATCATTGAGATGGGAGCCATCTTTGTGGGCCCCGCTGTGAATAATGTGTGGTAAAAAATTTGTATCCTTTTCATTGGACATGGGGTTGTCAACTGAAACCAAAGTTTTTGACCTTGACCTTTGACCTAGGAAGTTGTACATAAATTATGACACACCCTGTGGTGTTGGTTTATATACATGTCAAGTATAAACTTTGAAATCATAATGGTTCTCAAGATATAGAGTGGACACGTACGGACGGACAGACTGATCACAATAGGGCGTCCTCCATTTGGCGGGGCCCTAATTATTTATTTGGATATATCCTACTTTGCATAAGGCTGACAGGTTTATATAATAATTATATATATGGATATATCCTACTTTGCATAAAGTTAATTATAAGGATATATGGATATAATATTAATCAAATATTTTTAAGGATTTGTGATTCGTTAAAACTTGATCATATGTACATTTTTATTTACTCAGTTTGCATGCCAATAATGTTGTGTTTAGCTTTTCGTAGGTCAAAAACAGTATATTGCACAGGGCATACAGCATGTTACTAAAAATACATTCTAGAAATCCCCAATTTTACATTGTTCGTGCAATAGTTGTTGATTAATAATATAACAATTGTAGCTTTTAGTTGAGGTCAATATGATGTTATATCGACCTAGAGAAGCATATGGACCTTGGACTTCCTCCTCAGTCATTATGCTTCTCTTAGGTCGATGTAACCTTGTATCGACCTCATACAAAGGCTATAATTGTATCATATCCTTCTTTGAAAGAAAAACTGTGAACACTGGCATTCTTCTTAGACTCTGACAACAAGGTTCTACAATTGATTCTAAATGATGTATCCTTCTTTGAGAAGCAACAAATGCCAACTTTAAAGACTCTAGTCTGACTTGATCAGAATCAAATTACATCCAAGACATACATGAATCCAAACCAGTAATCAACACTTCAATGTGGCATTACAAATTCATAATGGCATAAATAAAATAAAAACAGACAATCTATCAAACATTTTGTTTTTATTTCACAACAAAACTAGGTGTATTTTTCACCTTATGAGCACTACGTACAAATACAGAATTTTTAACAAAAACTATCTAACAAATTCTGTATGTTTGGCGGTCATTGTTATATAACTAATTTGTGAATCACTTCAAGACAAAGATGAAGATAACAGCCTTACAAGGGACCATTTAAGATATAAAAAGGACTTTTCTTTTTAATAAACCCGTAAAAAAAATCAAGAGTAAAGCAGTTAATTTTTGTCTCCCGATATTTCATAATGTGCTGCTAAAATTTTATTTTCAATTTTTCTACCTTGCCATTTTCATATTTGTTGTAATAAATGTCATGTTTATTTTCCACATATGTCAACTTTTCCACACGATTTTTCACAGCCATAAATAACATTTTCTGGTTTTGCAGTAATGGAAGAAATATACTTAACAGGTACAATTTCAAGGATTCATTGATTTATAATTGCTAGCATTCACATCCAGTGGCAAATATCTCATGAATATTCAGTGCCTGAAAAAATTAGTTAATACAATAGATATGTTTTGCAAATAAGTCGGACAAGGATGAAGGGCAGGAAATGAGAACTGTATTGACACTTTATTTCTAAAATGGCCCCTTTATTGTGATTTTGTTCGTAGTTTTAACCATTAAAACACAATTTATATTGTAAGTTGAAAAATAAATCCCTAGAAATATCATTCCATAAAACATTAACTATCACACCTGTAATTGTAAAACATACTTCATACAACTTAGATTTACAATGAAATGTCAAAAGCTATAAATAAGTTTCACCTAATGACACATTGGAGCTGGATTTACTGACTGTTTACATCATAGTATAGCTACTTACTTATCAAAATTTTCATTTTCATGCTTAAATGAACATTAACTAAACATAAAAAAAAAAATCTAAATATAATTCTAGACAAAATGCGTTAGGTTAAGCTTGTGTAAGGACAGGATCACAGGATCACAAAAATAGGAACAAAATATAATTGCAGTAAAGACAGCCGAGATAATTTACTGATTTTAATCTTGATTTTAGGTTAACAAGAATTAGCAAAGCAATACATTTCCTATGATATAAAGTCTGTATTTCCCTTTAGACTTATCAAGTGAATTTGATATTAGTTAGCAAGAAATAATAGGAAAAATGTTAACTCTCATAAGGTCACAGCAAGATCATTCACTTTATTAATAAAAATCTACTGAAATTGAGGAAAACCTCCAATCCTGGCATATAGCCTGTTTTCTATATTTTTATCATCATTATTGTTCACGATAATTTCTATAACATCTAAGATTCTTATTACATGTACTTTTCACAATAAAAAACTGGATATTTTAAAATACATAATAATTTATTCCAGAAAAACTATTGTTTTCCTGTATCAGTGTGGAAAATCTGTTAACGAGTTATCTAGTATGTGCAAGTGTTTCTACATTAAATTAATTCAAAATTAATAGTGTATTTAAACATAGAGCCATTACATGGATATATGAAAAGTAAAAATAAAACAATGAAATAATTTACAAAGGATGACGGGACATAAATCTGTCCTTATAAAGTCTAAGCACTTCTAGAATATATCTGACAATAAACGAACTGCTCTTATTTTTGAAAATTTCAAAGGTTAAAATATTCAGAACCACTTTTTTTTTTTTATCCCTTTAAGCCTAAAATTTGTGTTGCCGATCTATCTACCTTTAGGGATTTTGGAAAATATTTTGTAACAGAAGTAAACATTTAAATATATGTAAAGTAACAAGCATGATGATATGCGGATATTTTGCATAAATCCTATTTAGTTTAGATTACAAGAGTTATGTTTGGCAGTTGATATTTACAATGTGTACAAAAAGAAGAACTATGTGTAACAGAGATCATGGCTTGAAAGACAAATCATCAGTTCTGAGGTACTGTTCAAAAGCCTTTGTGAAAATGCAAGAAAATAAAAACTAATAATTTAGTATACTATATCCATGCCATAACAGGTTTAATAAATAAATATATATATCATAAAATTCTTATTTACATTATCTTAGAAATGGGACAGTTCTTTGGTGCTGTAAGATGATACGTAATATATATACAACTCATAGAAATATTACATTTTATTGGGACCTCTTAAAAATAACAAATCGGAAATGTTATTCCAAATTTGCACAATGACACATGATATACATAAAGAAGTTGAAACGTTCAGTTTGTCTTACTTAGATATGGAACATTTGCCTCCTTCTGATATTCAAACAAATACTTAAATACATTTTGCCAATATAAAACAGGAGCATACTAGCTGTTCATGGTAAATCCAATATTTTAGACATTTCGACTCAAGTCATCTTGTTCTGAAAATTTGTGTACACAAAAAACACGAATTTTATGTTTGATTTCAAATTCTTTTATGTTAATTCATGACCAAGTGCTATGCCAGTTTAATGAAGATTGGATAAAAGCAACACTTAAAGCTAATTATATTCAATTTCTGAAAAATTAATAAAGAGTTTTTTTTCCACGATAGCAAATGCTTATCTCGTTCAGCACGAAATTGGTTACTGTATCTATAGTACTGGTATTTTTCTCTCATATATGCTACTCAAATATGAAATATGCATAAACTTTAAAAGAGATGAAATGTGCAAATATAAATTCAATTATGCAATATGTTTTCTATATTTTTTTTTCAACCAGAAACAACATGAGGAGATCTGAGCAATATAAAATAATAGAACAGCCTTCAACATTGTAAATTCAATCTACATTAGAAAAAAAAACACTTAATACAGAGTTTTAAAAAGCACTTCAGGATCATTAAGGTTGTCACCAACTTAAGATGTGTTTTTGGTTTGTTTTTATTTTGCATTGTTAGGATGCTGTCTGGTTGATGTATACCCCACGTCCTCTTTATTCATCTCAACAAATAGATTCAAAGAATATTGTCTATTTACAACTTTACTGTAAGGCTTTATACAGAACAAATGTTTGAGGAAAGGAAGAAATGTTGCCTCGGTTAATCATGTGGGTGGATGCAAAATCTTACAATTAAAATAAATCGTCCATTTACTGATATTTTCATGACATAAGTGTTTTTATAGTTATATTGTCCATTATGTCCATGTTGGACATAAATCTAAATGCCCTAAGTATGAACTGACCCGATGGTTTTCAAAAAGGGGTGAATAAAACTAATTTTGGATATAATGTACACAAATAGATTGCATTGAGAATTTTCAGCAAAGCCTTGAAAAACTACCTGTAACATGTAATCAAAATGAAAAGGGTATTATCTAGACTTAAAGAAGAGGATTTCATTGCATATATCAGCTTTGTCATATATTAATGTAATTGTCTGTTATAAAAGGTTCTGTAGAATACTTTGTTCTTTGGACTTGATTTAACAACAAAACCCCTGCAATAAAATAAAATAACCAAATTTAACATGTTTAATGTAACATTGGGTGATTTTATTCATCCTAAATATACATGAAATATTCAGCAAACAAGAACTAGAAAATTATTCCTTAAATTTTATCAGTTATAACTTATATGATTTTGCATAAATTGAATAACTGTTATTTCATAAATAAGATTTTGAATTGGACATATATTTCTAGAAATTTTGCAAACTGATCTTAAAGAACATCAATCAACTTTTATCTAGTCTATTTCTCTATCAACACAATTACATTACAAATACAGTCATTGTAGCATTTAAACTGCAGAAGAATTAATTTTACATGATCATATTCAGAAATTAAAATATGCCTTATTTCATCAGAATGTGTATAATAAAAATTGAATCAAACTTAAAACATGGTGCGAAACAAGAAGTTGTCATACTACCTATCAAGGAATTAACATCTGTTTAGGTGTAAAACATATTTATAGAATATAATTATGATGACACAGTGCTTTTTAATAACTCATACATTAGTATATATAGTTACTCAAATGTTAATGTTCCAATAATCACTAAATGAACACAACAGGTGCACAAAATTTCACCATGAAGAAATATATTCTGTGGTCACTTAAATGCATCATTTTATGTATTACATGCTGTGCCATTTAAAAATATGTTCAGCAGCAAATGTTGGAAAAGACTGGGTGTCTAATAAAATGAAATATTAGAAAAGAACCATAATAGCACAGGTTAAGCAAATCTATTGCTGTTTTTCGTATTTGTAGTTTGAGTTCTTGCAAAGAACTTATTAGATTACTCCCTACTGAAAGATCAATGCAGCCCCACTCAACGTTGACTCAGTTATTATTTTCTGAAAGTTAGATGACTGCCACAATGAAAACATTTTTAATTTTTTCATGATCATTTGATAAAACGTTGATGAATGGAAAAACAATCTGATCCAACATAAACATGTTCTGACATGATGAACCTATTAAATTGGAATAGCTGTCATTCATGTCATATTGACATATAACTTTAACTCTATTTTATGTGAAGATGAAGAATATAAAAAAGAATTAAATGAGGTGTTTAAATTGCTGTGCATTAATCCAACAAGGAAGGTGTATCTTAAATATTAAATTATTCAGTACAAAAATATGCCTTATTTTACAGACTGCATTGCCCATCTGACATTTTCACAAATACTAATTCATTACAGGAAATATATAACAATATTTTACAGTGATATTTTCATGTATTTTCTTACAAAATAATGTATATAAGTTCATAAGTCATTATCATATAAAAGAGCATTCTTTGGCCTTTCTTCGATCCATAAATAAAAGTTAAAAATGAAACAAAAGGTACAACATGATTTGAAATTATACTAAAGTTGTGTACTAAAGTATCAAAAAAGAGATTAACATCAAGTGCACACAGCAAAATAGATATACAGGTGAACAATTTTACCCACTTTTTTTTTTAAAGTGATTAACTAACATACACACTTATCATAGTTGGTCTCTACCCCGACGTACACTGAAACAAAAGAAAATATGTCACATGGACATCAATCATGCACTCTATGTCAGCTGAAAGTTTACTCCATCTGTCTTATGTCAATATTATACAGTCACATTTAGATCACAAGTAAAATGAAGATTCCAATAACAACAACCGATCTAAATTTATTGTAAGTGTCTTATTTACCCCGGTAAGTATAAGTTTGGCATTATTTTAATAGAATAATGCTTTATCATTTTTCACAGAGACCTCTCCACAATATAAGGTGACACAAGATCGTGTTATTAAGCCTACTAATTACATATTCATATATAAAGTCTCAGGTATCTGTAGCTCTTTCAAAAATATCAAACAATCCACAAACAAAAAATTCTAGGTTTTCAACAAACTCATCTTTTATTGCTTTGAAATTATGGTCCCAAACTCCCAAAAACATGTTTCACTATTCATAGTATAAAATTCATATATTTACTTTTTTTTCTCCCAATGGTGTAAGCTTATCTTTCAATGCTTAAATCAGACCAATACCATAATATCACCCCTAAATGAGACATTTAACTTGTTGATTTATGGCTATTCCATTGTATAGTAACCCTCCCCTCGAGAGGGCACCACAAAATCACTTTAATGCCTACCTCTAAGAATTATTTATCAACATTAGCCTTACTATATACCACATATTTAAAGTGGCTTGTCACTCTACTAATGATTCTACATAAGAAATTATTTGCCTTATGTGTGTGAAAGTTAGGTCTAAATAGAATACTGTAAACCGACTTATTTTCACGGATACTTTATTTCGCGATTAGCCCTTTCTTGTCCATTTCGGGGCGATTTAATTTCAGGATTCTCAAATTTACTTGATGTAGTTAAATATGGAAAAATCCAAGTTTTACATATTCGCAACGATTTATATTCGCGTTATTTTTCTACCTGCGAAAGTCACGAAAAATAAATCGCTCGCTAAAATTAGTTGGTTTACAGTAACCCTATTAATACTACAAAATATAGTGTTATACTACTCCATAAAAGTATATGAGAAACCTTATTTATTTCAGTTAATAAATCATTTCTATTTTAATAATGATTAAGTTAAAACTAAAATTATACAATATACTATAATATTTGAAGACTTTTCTTACATAAAAATATGTCTACTAGTTTATGTATGAAACTGTGAAGATCTTGGTTATAAAAGCATGCTCCAGGAGATTTATGTGTACTTTATACATTTCTAGGCTAGAACACACTTAATACTCAAGTAACAATTGTTTAACAGAAAACAGTGTAGCAAGACGTCAAAGTTGTGTTGAACAATGGTTTAATTAGAAGGGAAAACAGGGAGGGATGTGTCTGAGAGTTTCTATGTAGTTAATTCTAGTCTTGTACTTTCATTTTGATGAACACTACCAAGGATGACCTATAGTCTTGCATAACAAATGTAAATAAATAAACAACTGTTAACAAACAAACACTGAGATACAAACAACTGACCAGTGACACAAAACATTCACTGGGTAATATAATACTTCCAACAAGTTCTCTGGCTGGTAAATCAGGGCTTGTATAGCTGCCATTAACCCGTGTTATTCTGGGTATGTTGTATCAATTGTTAAAATCTCCCTACAAACAATAGCCTTTTCTAAATTTATACAATAAATTTCTACAGTCAAGACTTTCATTGCCCTGTGACAAACAAGCCCTGATACAGTCAGTTTTTTTGGAAATAAATAACATTTATTTTTTTACATATCTCCAAGTGACTTTTGGAAAATCAACAGTGAATATAAATAATAAATAAAATAAAATTCTCTACATAACAATTTTTTTAGTACTTTGTCATATTTGTTACAGGACCAGCAGGACTAGGTCGTTGACAACGTCTGACGAGGTCGTCGTATGTTCCTCCACTGAGAAAACACACGATAATGACAGTCATATTATCACAGCCTAAACCTCCCATCTCACAATCAGGTGCTAAACATCGAGTCATTAATTCTTCACAAATCTGAAAATATAAATATCTCATGGCATCACAATCAGGTGCTAAACATTGAGTTATTAATTCTTCACAAATCTGAAAACATAAAATAGTTCCTCACATAAACATCTGAGGCTTAACATTGAGTCATTAATTCTTCACAAATCTGAAAATATAAAATATTTCCTCACATAAGCATCTGACAATGTCTGAGACTTAACACTGAGTCATTAATTCTTCACAAATCTGAAAATATAAAATAGTTGTTCACATAAGCATCTGAGGCTTAACATTGAGTCATTTACTCATTACAAATCTGAAAATATAAAATATCTCCTCACAGCACAATCTGGTGCTAAAAATTGATAGTTCACTTTTCATAGAACTGAAAATATAAAATATCGATCTGGTGCTAAACATAATCATTAATTCTTCACAAATCTGTGTATATGAAATATCTCCTCACATTACAATCTGGTGCTAAACAAGTCATTAACTCATTACAAATCTGACAAGGAATGAGCTGTCAAATTAACAGCAAACCAGGTTTTCTGTGTTTTGAGAGGTGATTTCAGGCTTTTTTGACCTGCCACATTCTATGCCTAATTTTCAATTTATCAAGGATCACAACTCCTGAACATCAAAAATAAAAGTAACAGCATATCAAAATGGTTCATAAGTAAAGTAATTGCACAGAAAAGACATAAAGTGCTATTTTCCAATCTATCACTTTTCATCTCCTCCATTATAATCTGTTGCTACACATCATATCATTAAATTAATTCATTAGAAATTAGAAAATATTCGGATATCTCTTAAAATTATGATCTGATGTTGAACATTGTGTTATTTACCCCCCTCATAAATTTGAAAATATTACTGTAACTTAAGTTTGTCCTCATACCATGCATTCTGGTGTTAATAACAGTCTTTTTTACAAATCTGCAAAAACATTATATAATTTTTAATGTCACATCTTGGAAAATATACATGCTGATTTTTCATTTTTATATCCCTTGTATTTTGATGTATCTTGCTAAAAATTTCAACAGAGCATATCTTAAATACTCTTAACAATTATCTCCATTTTTTCCCCTTGTGTATCTTTACAAAAAGTAAATAATCACTTTTTGTAAAATTGCCATATTCCAAGAAATGGTCATATTTTATGTTATGTTTTTTTTTCTTCAGAAAAGTAGATATAATAAATGGTACTTACAATATCTGGTTGCATTCCCTGAGCAATCCTGCTCCTGACAAATGTGACAACTTCCTGGTTAGTTAAAACATCCCAGATACCATCACAGGCAAGAACAATAAACTCATGGTCAGAGGTTATACGTTTCTGTACAACATCAGGATAAGCTATAAGTATACATATATAAGCATAACAATTTCCTACCATATCCTTTCTTTTGCATCAAACAAGACTACATACAGATAGTTTTACTACAATTTTTGTCCTCCACCACTCAATGGCTCTATAATAAATAGTTTCACCTTTGTAGGTCCTTCCAATATATAATAGTTAGATTTTTGTCACTATTTCTCTTAACTTGATGTATGCTTTAAATCTATAATCACATAACGATAAGTTAAAGATCAAATTTGAGTTCTGTTCCTGTTGACATTCTTTTTTTACAGATTACTATAGACAGTAACTGATACTGTTAAAATGAGAAAGTTTCCCCGTGCTTGATATGTATGCTCTTCTGTATTTTTAAAGTTATGGTGCATCTATTCTTGACTTGAGATAACTTCTCTTATGTGTGCCACATCATTCTCTAAGTTTTAGGCCAGTTTATGGACTAAAATTTTAATAAGACGCAAACCAAATGTTCTTGGCCCTCATTCCTATCCACATTAAATTTTTCACTTCCAAACATTTTATGGGGGGGGGCCGGACCAATATACTGTTATTAATACATCAGACCGGAATAGTTACTGGAAAATTGGACACATCAAACCAGGTACTTCATATCTTAGAAACAGGCAATATATGCCCTCAATTTTAGAATTCATTCATAAATTTTTGTATTATTCAAAATTATCAGTCAATATGTCTTCTAAAAGAATAACCAGTTCTACACCTTTTGTTTGATACCTTAATCACTAAAATATATTCTATATAGTTTTATATTTACACCTATGCATAGGAACTATTCTGTTTTGAATATGTACTACTTTCCAGTATGTTCTTTTTTGACCGGATGGATTTGGTGGTGTTACATCTTACAAAGTCTATTCAAATCATTTTGCAAAGAATTCCACTCAAACCGGTGCTAGGGGCAGTCTTAAACTTGCAGTGAGGTGAGAGGTTTTTTTTTTCTTTGCTATGTGCTAAAGCCTCACTGTGACTTTCAGAAGAAGAACAGCAATAAAAGCACGGTTTCTTTGCTTTTTTGCAGTGCATTTACTGATTTTGTGTCATGAATGGATACCCCATTTCCTTTGTTTTTCTATTTAACAATATTTTTTTTCCTATACTGTCAAGGGAGATAATCAGACTGTATTTAACCAGTTTTCATAAGGAATGGGTAATTTTTAATATCAAGACTATGAATTGTCAAAACATTCTCTTTTTCCTTCATTCACAAATGTTGATCAAAATAATACCCATTAAATTCTAAAAAAAAAAATGTATTCACATTAAAAAAAAAATTCATATTGTACAAGTTTAAACTATTTTCCTTACTACATCATGTACATGTACATATATTAAACACAACTGTCTAAAAATTACTTCGTGAAATAGTACTTTAGTTTTAATTGATCTACAGATTGATTTGTTGTTTCGTCATGTTCATAGAAATTTTAATATGTTATGACCCCTAATAACAATAAAGCATCAGAAAGCAAAATGTTGTCTGCATTCTACCTTTTAAATAAACTGAAGTATCACAAAAAATTTAGAACATTAATTGAACCATGAAAAAAGAGGTCAGCAACTTATATTGCATACAACAAACTGAAATATATTAAGTTTTCTTTATTTACACAACAAGATAAAGATGCCTCAATGTTTTTGACAGTTATCTGTATACATACCGGTTACTATTTGTTCCTCTGGTCTTTTGGTTTCATTTTTCTTGAAGACAAAATCTCCTAATGCTCTTGATAAAGCTAAATTACCTTTAAATATAGGATATTGTAAATGAGAATTTTCTTTACAAATGAGAATATAAGATTCAACACCATAAATATTCCTTTCCTCATATGAGAACCTTTATACTGAGCTTTCCATTAACACTTATGGAGCATTATCTTAGATTTGTTGTTTGATTTATAATTCAGTATTATATATTTTTTTCTATTTCCTTACATTCAAAATAATTATCATTTTCTTAGTTAAATCTTTTTTCCTTACTCTTTTAAATTTTAAAAAACAAATTACAATAACTTAGTCATAATTTTGGCAGGGGAGATAACTTTTGCTGGAATGTGTACATATAAGGGCAGATAATTAAACTGGACCTATTTTATGAAATAGAAAGAAAAACGAAATTTGAAACCCATGTTTCTTTTTCTTCCTGAAAGCAACTGATCTTAATAATGATCTTCGAAAAATAACCAATTAATATAGATATGTTTTGTTTCATTCCCCAAAGAAGTGTTTCCGTATATAATCTTTAATATTTGTTCTATCTTAAACAGTGTTCCCGCCTGCCCTAAATAGAAGGGCGGCCCACCCTATGGTGCCCTTACCCCTGCCCTTCTGCCCTCCAAAGTAAAAGAATGCACCCCTCTGCCTTTTCAAAAAAAATTAAATTTCCAAATTTCATGCCTACCGGTGTTTCCGGTAAAATTGTTACCTAATTGTGTAACACTAATTAACTGACAATGGGATTAAGTTAAATACCTAATGCTTTGGCAGTTCTATCACCTTTGTTAATGATTGTTTACTGCTTATTAGTGGATTTAAGATAATTGAACAAATACTAGATATTTAATACAGAATGAAATGTCCACATGTTATCCATTTGTAATGTTTATGTACAGCATGTACACCTGAAAAAATTTATTTCAGTAGGCATAACATAAAAAATAAAAATCTTTTACAGAATTTTAAAGGCATACATAGTTTTGACTTAATTGGTAAAAAATGTTTTGTTTCATAACCACGAGTATGAAATTTAAAGAAGAATCAAATAAATTTGTACTTTGTCTGAACATAACAAGATTCACTTCCTGTTTTACTTCTTGTATTTTATAATCCTCCTGACATACGAGCACAACAAATTTATTTTTAACAATGATGGAGAAAAAAGTAACTGTTTATACCTTCTGCAATATATTATTGCATCAATAAAATATGATCATCTCCTGTCTCAGCTGGTATATTCATAAAACTCCTTACTGAGGAGCACTTTGGTGTGCACTTAAAAATACTTTTTTGTAACAATTCAAATGATAATAAATAACTCTCAATAACATATATACTATCTGCTCTATGGTCGGGTTGTTGTCTCTTTGACACATTCCCCATTTCCATTCTCAATTTTATATGTTTGAACAAGTAATTTAAATGTAGATAATTTAATTACATTAAACATTAAATTTTGCATGAATAATTCCATCTTTCAAAACTACTTGTTTATTTTTATAGACTGGTATAAGTTAAAAAACATTGAAATTTCTGATGATTATTTGCTTACCAAATGTACAAGTTTGTTTAGATTAACAACAAAATGATATGCTTTGCTTCATGGTATGATAATTTGATGAAAAAAAATTCTTACTGGAACCAACATCAAGAACACATTAATTTATGAATATGGTTTAAATACAACTAATGTTCTCCAGCTGAGACTAGCAATATTCAAGGTAATTTATACACTGTCTAACAGTGCCCTTAAAATCTGGGTTATAACACTAAAGTGCCCTTTCAGACAACTAGCACCCTTATGCCCTGAGATTCAAGCTGGAACACTGTTAAAACCTCATATCTCTCATAAATAATTATAGTGACTTATAACCTTTGTTAAAATGAATTCTTATTGCAAACATATTTTAACTTTTTCAGCGCTTACATTTCTTAAACTGAATTTTTATTGCAAACATATTTTAACTCTTTCATGTCTTTCAGCACTTGCATTTCTTAAACTTAATTTTTACTGTAGACATGTGCTATCTCTCTCTGACAGCAAAATTCAGGAAAAATATAATTGAAGTGCCTATCTACCACTTTAATTTCAAGGATAATATAAAAGAGAGCCAACTTTGTTCAAAATAAGTTTTACATATAAAACAAAATTGTTTTTAAAAAGAATTGATGTTTGTACCATTGACTCTGTTGAATTCCACAAAGCCTCCAGCTGCTGTTATACGTCGAGCTTCTAACTCATTGCTTGGTTTATGATCGTATGATAATTGTTCCACTACACCTCGTACACTGGCTACAGCACGAGAATCACCAACGTTTCCCTGAAATAACAATTATTTGGACTAATAGGTTCATTGCTGTGATCACAAGATGAAAATGCATCATCTACATATTTCTAAGACAGGATTTCAGCTGTGGTATGCTTTTATTATTAATAAGAGCAAAATATAGTCAATAGTATACTGCTTCAGGTCTAACTTTTCTCCTTTCGCTAAAAGATCTTTAAATATATATGATAATGAATCCTATATCCAAACTTGTTACTATTCATATAGAGGAACTTTTACAGAATTTCTTTTCTAAATTACAATGGCTTAGGTAAACTTTTGTAAACTCATATAAAAACAGAAATAGCCTTGCTTACACTAATTCTTTGATAATAATAACACTTTGAAAAATACATCTTACTGATCTTTACTGTCAACCCTACACAGTAAGAGTAAATATTTTAATAGCTTTGCCGACAGCATGTACAGGGAAACATTGCTTGGGCAGTACACAAATATGAAATCAGACAAACAAATTATCCTGATTCATTTGAAATATAACAAATTAAAGAAAGATCGTGTTTGATGTTCCCTAGAAAAATAATACGAATTTTTTCATAAATGGGAATAATGTGTTAGAATATATAAGTATTCAGTAAACAGGAAGTTGAGGAACGATGCATCACACAGTATAGCATGTTCACATGAAGTCTGATAACAAATTTCAGGAAGCTCTAATCTGTAGTTCCTGAGAATTATTTTATCAGATTAACAGGCAAACAGGGGTAAAATGGTATACCCCTCTATCTGAGTGGTAGTATAATAGTAAACAGCTCTTTATTTTTACGTTTTTTGTTGTTATTTTTCCTTGTGAAACATATTATGGCAAAATGACAGGAACCAGATTAACAAAGTATCTGTAAACTATTAGATCATTAGGTCTTTACCAGGACATATCTTGTTTGATACAAGAGTGCACACACTGAAATCATGATTGAATTTATGTTGATGGTCTTTATTTAGTATGGCTTCCATTATCACTGAACTAGTATACATATTTGTTTAGGGGCCAGCTGAAGGACGCCTCCGGGTGCGGGAGTTTCTCGCTGCATTGAAGACCCATTGGTGGCCTTCGGCTGTTGTCTGCTCTATGGTCGGGTTGTTGTCTCTTTGACACATTCCCCATTTCCATTCTCAATTTTATTTATTACCAGGTTTAACTATTTGTTAACCCCTTTTAAGATGTATGTACCAAGTCAGGAATATTTTGTTGGTTGATAGTCCAGCGTTTGGTTTTTTCAGGTTTTATGGACTTCCCCTTTCTGAATTTACCTTGAGAGTTTGATATTTTTGTTAATACTGATTTTACAAGATATTACTACTGTACAGGTACATGCTTCACATAAACAACATTTTAAGTGATCCATGTAAATGTAAATGAGGTCAAGCTCAGATGAACCCTGCCAGACAAACATATGCACATTGCAATCATACCATACATTTAATATAGTTGACCTATTGCTTATAGTATCTGAGTTACACATTAAACAACTGAATATTTAGTTTGACGAAGCCTGGGCTCTAAGTTTCCTAGGCCTAAAGGAGTAGGCCCGGTAAGACCCCTTTTTGGCCCCAAAATATAGTGTTTTTACAAAGTAGGTTAAAATGTCACTTTTAGCTATTTATTGGAAAGTAGAATACTTTTGATACATAAATATGGGCTGTTTTTGACAATAAAACAGACATGCATCATGTACTAGCATCATTACTTCATGCAAAAATACTGAAATCTTCACAATTTTAGCATTTGTGCTTATTTTAAGACGTTTTTTGTTTAAAATGGAAGTGGCCGCACTTGTGTTCAGTCTTAATATTTAAATATATGTTGTATTTAATGATTTTACATAACATATATAAATGTTGAGACTGAACACGAATGCGGCCACTTCCATTATAGACGAAAACCATTTGGAAATTGGCGTTTTAAGCATATTTGATAGATTTTTCATATCTAAGCTTGAATTTGAGCATCTTTAATGACCAAATCAGTTCAAATCTTTAACATAAATTAATTGAATCGACTGAAATAGACACTTGGGTGTTAAAAAAAGGTAAAAAAACTTTTCTTCAGATGTACTTTGAAATTTAGGCCGAAATTAGTCCTTACCTGACCTTCTCCTTTGGTAGAAATCCATACAATTCTGTCAATTTTCATCAAATCTCTACTTTTGATCTATTTTGGTTGTATATATTAAGGCTTTTTAAGAAAAGCTACATGAAAAAAGTTCTATTTCACGAAAAAAGTTCTATTTCACTTTCGTACTGGTCTTTTCATCCACTTGAAATTTTTTTTATCTTCAAACAATATAGGCTTAATATTTGGGGCCAAATATGAGCCTTACTGACCTTGATCCTTTGCATCACTATGTCTTGCATTCTGTGACTGTTAAAACAAACATGACTACCTTTTCAGACTATTAACTTACACAATAAATATCACTGCCTTTAAGGATAGCTATCACAGCTGTTGTACCTGCCAACTCATCTTTCATTAAATCATCTTTCATCATTTCCTCGTCCAGAGCTAAAAAGCCCCTTCGTATTGAATCACTAATGTTTCCCTGAGCTTTAAACAGAAGAGACATTATGAATTAACATTACCCCAGTATACATTCATCGTGTAAAACTTAAATCTACTGATCATGACCATATATCAAATATTTGATGTCTGCAAAACAACTATCCATTTACTAGGTATATAAAACTAAATTTGATGGAAAAAAATAATAATCTTTATCAAATTAAAGCAGTCCAACTCTTAATTTTTATAGTGTAAAGAAGTTATTCTTGAGACTTCTCTATCTGATCTCAACGTTGAAGGGGACCTGAACTACAGAATGTATATAGGTACTCTGTACTTAGATTCTGCCATCAGATTATACAACACTTGTGTGTCAAAACTGAACTCATAAATTCTTGAAAGTTAAAATGTTTATATAAAAAAACTCAGTAAGTACTTTATAATTGCTCTGAAAAAAATAAAAGGTTCTTGAAATTTTTTTTTCATTTTGAGGATATAATATTGAAAAAAAGGCTTTCACAAGTAAGTGTACTTACAATAATAAGGTTGTGCTAATATTTTCTTATGTAAGTGTTGACTTGCGTACTGAGCAACTTTGGCACCTGTAAAAATAAAAAATGACAAAACTTTGAAAGACTTTATGCATCACTTTTTAACATGTTTAACCAAAACAATCTGTAACTTGAACTTTCAGGTTTTTTCTATTATGCTTTTTTGCTCATTGAATTATCATATTTCATGGTATTAAGACTGAGAAGGAACTTAAAAGATCATAATGGAAAAAACAAATCCCCCCACCATCTCTTTAAAAGATTCACTTCATCTTTTTTCTTCATTAAGCTTTGGATATATCATTACATCATTACATCAAGAAGTATGGAAGTTATACTACAGGTGTTGTAACGAAGATGATAGGAATATCAGTGTCAGGTAATCCATTACCATGATTACACAGAAAGTAAATCATACTTTGTAATTTAATTAGCTTTAGAAGATTTCTACACCTGCTAATACATCAACACTTCCATCTTTACTAAAATCTTGTTTAAAGGATGTAAATAATCAATCGATCATTATTCCAAACTACTGATGGATAGGATCCTACCTGTGTTTAATTCTTATGTAAGATTGATAAAGTTTTTAAATCTATACTCCAGTTATTGGCAGTCGATTGGGAACCTTGCTACAATTAAAGACCTTTTACTTTGTGTTAACAGCATGGTAAAGAAATGGCCACAGTATTAATTAGATATTGATTTCTCTATTCAGGATGATATAAAGACATTAAAGCTCTGGTTTCTATACAACAAATTACTACCTAAGCAACCTAAGCATGAAATATACTTATTCATCATAATCATCATTTTGCTAAGAAGTTTTGAACAAATAAATACAACTTTCAAACTTTAGCAGAGAAGTTAGAATTTTCACTACCATAGTATACTTAAGGAACATATATATATTTAATTATGGCAAGTTTCAAAAGATTGTAAATTGTCATGAATAAACTTCTATTCTTTGTAGTTAATTAGATCTAATGTTCAATTTTCCAACATCATAAGGATGATTGTGGGCCACTAAAGATCTGTTTTTAAAAAAGGTTTTTAAAAGTGTTAACACAAAAAAATGAACTCCAGACGATGATTCTGATGTTTATCAGTTAAAATAAAGTAACTATTTCCATAACATGCCTGTGAAAATCTATGGTGCGAGAAAATCCTGTGGCTAATTTTCATTATTCTTTATAAATAACATCAAAATGAAGGGTTTTATTTTTATCTCATGTATACCCAGTTTTTATCCCTTTTCACAATCATCAGTTTTCTGTCGTCATACTAGAAGACGCTTATCATGCTCATAATACTCCCAAGCCATTGAAGCTCTCAGGTATTGATGATATATTAAAAAATTTTTTTTACCAAGAATAACACTTTCATGACTTGTAAGGATTTGACACAAGATTTACCTGTTAATGTTTGTATATCTTAACATATCGATTTTTCTATAAACCTATTTTACAGTTTGTCGTTATTAGAAAATTTTCATTATGAATACTGAAAAGCATAATATGTACTTGGTATTCCAGATGAATTAACATTAGAGACAATGATACAAGCTAAATCAATATTTCAATTATAGGATAAATAAAAACAGGATACTGAACTCTTATAATTACAACTTATTACATACAGCATCACTCATTAAGCAACAAAAAATAATATTGCACAACTAATCATAGTAATATCAGTACAAGTATTCGGTACACTTAGATGTGAATGATCTATGAGAGATATGTGTCACATTATTTCTTTTATCATGTTTATAGAAAACCCTAGAACCCAAAAAAAACAAATGTGATAACAATTGAAGTAGTTGTGGATTTTAAAGATTACTTAAAGTGGCAGGACTGCTACCTTTTGAATCACTATGAAAACCTATTTGGTTACAGGAAGCCTAAGAAATCTACAGTGCATGGACATAAGTATTTGACACTAACCATTTTTTTTGCTATATATTTCATATAAAACTATTCTTTACAAAAAATTATTGTGGTGTCATTTGTGGTTGGATTTTAATCAACTTGGTACCAATAGAAGCAAAATTGTCACAGATTTATTTCACGTCATCTATATGTTACAAAGTGTTCTCATTTCCTGATGACATTAACACAAGTAATATTTTTTTGTCTGGAAATTTGTTATATATTTTAACCAAACTAAATTTTAAAAATTTCTTATACCATGTATACCTGTTCACACCAAGAGGAAATAAAAACAAATTAGGAAAAAATTATGACCAAATAAACAATAAAATGTCAGACAATTCTGCGTCTTTCAACATGATAGTTTGAGTGTTAAAATCCAACCAATGAATGCCTTTAAAATAATTTTTCAAAAAAATGTGCCTTTATATGAACATAATATACAGCAAAAACTTGAATATGATGAATACTTATGGCCATGTACTATACATGTAGGTGAAAACACTTCACTTTCGTTACCTCTTTTCTGTCAAGTCATGTCAAAAGACATTATAATTGGAATTTTCACAGATAATATATGGTCTGGCGGTGTTCCCTGATACATCAGACATAGGAGATATAGGACACAGACAAGACTGGCAATGTCCCCTGATACATCAGACATAGGAGATATAGGACACAGACAAAAAATGCACAAGTCCATATTTGCCGTGAAGCCCAAATAACATTTGTACATTATACTGGAGTTCCCCGATTTCAACATTTATTACCATTCTGATCTTCCTATATGTTAACAGGGTTTATGGGCTCATATTCCCCGCCCAGGTCACCAACCAAATTTCAAGAAACTGTCAACAACAAATGTGTGGCCTCTTCCTGATCATACATGACATAATTAGGAACACCTGCTAAGCTATGGGACACCAAAGAAGTCAATGCAATCCAAGATTAAAACCAAACCAGAAATTGCACACATTGTAGTAATAAGAATACCCCTACTCGTAATTCAAAGTTATCAGAAAACAGGAAGTAGGTGTCTGAAAGATCTGAAAATAGCTCATCACTGCAAAGCTGTTTCAGATTAATTATGAAGTCATTCTGTTCAGTAGTACTTGTAAAAAGTGGGCCGAAAACTTTTAAGTTCACTCAACTTATTGAAATATCAATCTAATTAAAATTGACAACCTTTGTTACAATAAAAAAAACCTCATGCTAAGTCATTTAAGTTTAGAAGGTGTATTATTAGGTTGGGGTTGCTTTGTTGGTGCCCCCTTTCAAAATCCTGGACCTGCATCTGATTATTGCTAGCACTGCAATCCTCTATCTATAAAGTACCAAATTGTCAAATATATAAGAGTACAAATTTTTAAAGGGAGAGGCTAAGCATTTTCTATAAAATTTCAATATGAATAGCATTGTAATAAGTTCTAACAATATGATGGCACAAAATGCTTTCGATAATATTCATTAAACAGCCATTTCATTCAAAAAGGGAAAAATTCAAATGTGTATAAGTTTCATAACATTTGGTTGAGGCAAACTAAAGTTAGAGAACTAAAACCAATTTCAATATGTATGTACGGACAGACGGACAAGAGTAACACTTAATGCCTCCTTCGCTGCGGAGGGGGCATAAAAATACTCTGCTGTGCTTAACGGCAACAGTGCATATATACTTATCCTTCAGGTTTAAAACACAATAAAAAGTTCTACAATGTGTGGATATGAAAATGCAAAAAAATGGTAAATGCCCACATGAAACTTTGTAACAAATCTTACAAAGTTCTGATGCATATATCCTGGGAAAAATGTGATGAAAATCCATGGGACAGAATTTGAAAGACAGACATATCGACTGAAAAAAAAAGTTAGCAGTAAAACACCTCCCATGGCATGTTTAACTTTGGAGCAGTGGTATATAAGTTGGCATTAGCAGTAAAACCACTCCCTTGGCATGTTTAACTTTAGAGCAGTGGTATATAAGTTGACATTAGCAGTAAACCCCTCCCTTGGCATGTTTAATTTGGAGCAGTGGTATATTACCGGTAGTTGATGTTAGCAGTAAACCACTCCCTTGGCATGTTTAACTTTGGAGCATTGGTATATAATTTGGCATTAGCAGTAAAACACTCCCTTGGCATGTTCAACTTTGGAACAGTGGTATATAAGTTGACGTTAGCAGTAAAACTCCTCCCTTGGCATGTTTAACTTTGCAGCAGTGGTATATAAGTTGACGTTAACAGTAAACCCCTCCCTTGGCATGTTTAACTTTGGAGCAGTGGTATATAAGTTGACGTTAGCAGTAAAACTCCTCCCTTGGCATGTTTAACTTTGGAGCAGTGGAATATTAGTTGATGTTAGCAGTAAACCACTCCCTTGGCATGTTTAACTTTGGAGCAGTGGTATATAAGTTGACGTTAGCAGTAAACCACTCCCTTGACATGTTTAACTTTGGAGCAGTGGTATATAAGTTGGCTGGTATTAGTCTGGTCATCTCCTTTATTACCAAGGTAACTGAATTATCCATGTAACCAAGGTTCAGTGTATAGTAGCCATGCTTTGTAAAAATAATAAGATGTTGTATAATTGTTAACGAGACAACACTCCACCAGAGACCAAATGACTTAGAAGTTAGCAACTAAAGGTCATCAAATGGCATTCAAGAATGAGCAAAACCCATACTGGATAGTCAGCTATAAAAGGCCCCGAAATAGTTTTAGAACATTTGTGGATAAATTCAGCACATGGATTCTCTCTATTTGCATCTGACAGAAAGAGTTACAACAACACAACAATTTACATCACACATAAACTGTTATCACAGAGATATGTCTCGCCTTTTTGTAATTTTGATAATGCAAATGTTGAAATTAAAATAGCAATACTTTAACATGTAAGTTATGCAAATATTCAAAGTCGATGAACCATGACTGAAGGTACATGGCTAAACAATCTCCATGGAATGAGATGTGCCAATGCTAATACAATTGCATACCAAATACCATTGACTAATTATAAGTCGTTCCCTTTAAACAAACCTAAACACAAACATTAACTTGTAAACTATGTAAAAGATTCAAAGTCAATGAACCATGATCAGGGGTGGGGCTATATAATCTC